GTTAAATCCAGTTTATTTTTAACAACAATTCTTTGGTGAAATTCTTTATTAACTTTCTTTGCATGTTGCATTTGCAGTCTCAAACCATACTCAGTTTCTCCATATCGACAGCGATATGTTGCTGGCGCTTGTTGGGGTATTGTGAAACAAAATCTGTATGTATATTCAACATGTGGCTGCAGCAGTTGTTTGCAGTTCAATGAATCCAGTTTAAGTTGTTCGCAAACATGTTTTTGCTGCTGGTTGTAAAGTGTTTTGTCTGATGCTACTATCTCATGGGTACTGAAGTCATTGTGCATTATATTTTCCTTAGTTTTATCTAATTCCCACCATTGTATCGTAGTTTGGCCATAAAATTCGAGTATAATTGCTGCAATAGTAAAGTAATGTTATAAATATAAAAATCTAATTTAATGTGAAGACCATAAAGAAACAAGAAGGCTGGAAAAAAATATACTTATTGTATATATATATTAGATATGGAGTAATAAACATAAACAATATTTTATCTAATCTAAGATTGTGTTCACACTTTTGGCTAACATCACAATTAACTATATTAAAATTAAATTTAATGGAAACGTTTATGAAGAGTGAATACGAATATGATCTATACTACTTCGTTGTCCAATAATTTTCTTTATACCAAGCAAATTATCTTGAAAATTGCCGCAAAGACGGACAGACACACGACAGACAGACAGACAGACAGACAGACAGACAGACAGACAGACAGACATACAGGCAGATCCTGAACCGATTATTGAGATCAATTCGAACGTCGATTTCTAGTAAAGGATTTCTACCACTTCGTTGTCCAATAATTCATACCAATCTTGAAAATTGCCAAACAGACGGAATGCCACACGGCAGACAGACAGACGGACAGACAGACAGACAGACAGACAGACATAGCTAAATCGACTCAGATAGGGATCATGCACCGATTAGTGATATCAATTTCTAGTTAAGGAGCTTTAATGAATCTCCAACACCTAACACATCCTCCTTCTTAAAAAATATGCATTTGTATATCATCACAGTATAACATTTACTTTCCCATGAAGAAATCAATAATATGATCCTTAAATTTGTAGCACAACTCTCTTACACAGTTATGTTTACAATTTTGTTTACTTATACTCGATATTTGATACAACGTCGATCGACCAAACTCCCACCCATTAACTCACCTTCTATCTGACGCTGTTTTACACTACATATTGTTAATGAACCCGCCACTTCTTCACCGCCATAATAGATATTGGCAATGCGTGACAACTGAAATTTACATGTAATTGACATTTTATGCCAATAATAACAATAATTTAATTTTCCACTTAAATCAAATAATATTTCACAGAATTTTGCTAAATTGCACGTTTATTATATGTAATTGATGAAATGACAAAATTTCGGAAAATTTTCCACACACAAATAGGAGGAACAGACAGGCGGCAACCGATATGACACAACCGAAATCTGTATTGATGGTTGAACGCTTGAAATGAGACTGTTGCAAATCAAGCAGAAAAACATCCACTTGACTTTCTTTGGCCGGTTGTTGTTTCTCAGATTTTTTTTGTTTCGCTTCGAATGGGCTTGTAAGTAAAATCGCAGTTGTGTTTTTGTTTAGTTTGTTGCCGTTTGATGTTTTATTTTAAGAGGACTGTATGTTTTACTTGTAAACAGTTGCTTATTTTTTATTTCTTCTCATATAATCAGATTTTTATAATTTGTTGAACAAAAAAGCGGTTATAATGTTTTTGTTTTGTTTATAATGATAAAGCTGTTAAAATAAATACTACCGAGTTTTTGTTTGTTAACAAAAATAAATATTTGTAAAAGATAATTTTAAGTTTTATTTCTCGTTTATAAATTATAAAGATTTATAATGGATAAAAAATGAATTTGAACATCTTAGGTTATCTTATAGGACCTGGTATGCACATAAAGAAAGTAGCTTTGTCATCTTTTCCTGTATACTCGTGGAACAATTTGTTAAATTGTTTTTTTGTAACCTACATCACAATATGCTATTTGAATAGTTCACGCTTGACTATACTTCTTCTAACTAAATTGTTTGAAATAAGTTTCTTTTAAAAATACCAAATGTGTAGAAACTGTTTTGGTTACTCTAAGTAATTAAACGTATACAAATTTGGAACTATTGGGTCAATAGTATTGGCACATACCTACCAAATATACCAGTTTGGAAAATCTAGTAAAGTAGTGTTTGGCTTATTCGTATTTCTTAAAGGTTTAATTACATATATCTAAATAAAATACTAAACGTTTAGTTTATGATCTGATATCCTACAGTTAACAACTGTTAGCAACAAGAAACTTTAATGAATAATGAATGATATCATGGGTTCGCCTTTAACTAACTAACTAACTAACTCACTAACTAACTAACTAACTAACTAACTAACTAACTAACTAACTAACTAACTAACTAACTAACTAACTAACTAACTAACTAACTAACTAACTAACTAACTAACTAACTAACTAACTAACTAACTAACTAACTAACTAACTACTAACTAACTAACTAACCTAACTAACTAACTAACTAACTAACTAACTAACTAACTAACTAACTAACTAACTAACTACTAACTAACTAACTAACTACTAACTAACTAACTAACTAACTAACTAACTAACTACTAACTAACTAACTAACTAACTAACTAACTAACTAACTAACTAACTAACTAACTAACTAACTAACTAACTAACTAACTAACTAACTAACTAACTAACTAACTAACTAACTAACTAACTAACTAACTAACTAACTAACTAACTAACTAACTAACTAACTAACTAACTAACTAACTAACTAACTAACTACTAACTAACTAACTACTAACTAACTAACTAACTAACTAACTAACTAACTAACTAACTAACTAACTAACTAACTAACTAACTAACTAACTAACTAACTAACTAACTAACTAACTAACTAACTAACTAACTAACTAACTAACTAACTAACTAACTAACTAACTAACTAACTAACTACTAACTAACTAACTAACTAACTAACTAACTAACTAACTAACTAACTAACTAACTAACTACTAACTAACTAACTAACTAACTAACTAACTAACTAACTAACTAACTAACTAACTAACTAACTAACTACTAACTAACTAACTAACTAACTAACTAACTAACTAACTAACTAACTAACTAACTACTAACTAACTAACTAACTACTACTAACTAACTAACTAACTACTAACTAACTAACTAACTAACTACTACAACTACTAACTAACTAACTAACTAACTAACTAACTACTAACTACTAACTAACTAACTAACTAACTACTAACTAACTAACTAACTAACTAACTAACTAACTAACTAACTAACTACTAACTAACTAACTAACTAACTAACTACTAACTAACTAACTAACTAACTACTAACTAACTAACTAACTAACTAACTAACTAACTAACTAACTACTAACTAACTAACTAACTACTAACTAACTAACTAACTAACTAACTAACTAACTAACTAACTAACTAACTAACTAACTAACTAACTAACTAACTAACTAACTAACTAACTAACTAACTAACTAACTACTAACTAACTAACTAACTAACTAACTAACTAACTAACTAACTAACTACTACTAACTAACTAACTACTACTAACTAACTAACTACTAACTAACTAACTAACTAACTAACTAACTAACTAACTAACTAACTAACTAACTAACTAACTAACTAACTAACTAACTAACTAACTAACTAACTAACTAACTAACTACTAACTAACTAACTAACTAACTAACTAACTAATAGGGCTTTTGACCTCATAACTATGTTAACTGTCCTAGTGTCTCTATGCAAATTGCCAAAATTTAGTTTTATATAAGTTTAATTATTGCCGATTTTCGTAATGATTTGACTCTAGCCCCCACACAACGTACCCTCCAGAAAATTACTTGAAACTACACAATTCACTAAAAAATACTGGTATCACGATGAAATTCGGTACAAATAACTTTTATATAAACGTAAATCCCACCAGTTAATTTTGAACGGCTCGGCCAAATTATTGTCCTAACCGCTATACAACTAGACCATCCGATTTGGAACTTTTAGCTCATAACTGCACAACTGAGACTTATATAAGCGCCTAAAGTGACCCTAGCCCTCATACAAAGTGTCCATCTGAAAATTAGTTTAATGTTTTTTTAACTTAAGCCTTTTTGCTTAATTGTAAGTATAATTTATCTTCTATTGAACATAAAATTTTTAGAAATTTCCACATATACTTAAAAACAATTGACAGTTAAAATACTTAGTTCATTTACTTTGAAGCACATGACCTGACTACCAATAAAACGTATTAAACCAAAATAGTATCAAGAATATAAACATACCCTTGCCACAGACACAAGTCAGTCAGGGAGTATGGGTTTCACAAATACATTTATTCATAAATCTAACAAAATAATGAAGGAAAACAAGGATAACAAGCTGCTAAAAAACAGAAGAGGAAAAAACAATTTAAGGAAAATTCATAAGATCTACTTATGTATGTAAGAACGAAGAAGAAAAAAACAATTATTTACTACACATGATACTTTTTTAACAACTATACTTTGAAAATATTTAGACAAATTTTTGAATATTACATATCGTGTGTTAAACGAGGTCAAGGTTTACTAATTCAAAATATTCACATCAAGATGGCAAATAAGGATGTAAACTAAGAAACCTACTAACTACAATTATAGTGTCTGTTTGATTTAAAATACAAAACATGACAACAAAAGTTATAAAAACTCTATGGCGCCAACTTATTGATTCCCACAAAAAAGCCAAAAAATTCAAGCAAAAACAAAACAAAAAACTAAAATAAATCCTAGACAATTGAAATGAAAACTACTACAGATTTGAAAATTTGGCAGGATAATAAAACACACAGTTATTTGCAAAGGGATGCTGTAAGAAGAAGGTTGTGTATTTATTTAGAATAAATAAAAATAATAAAATTACAAATTAAATAATAAAAATATTTTAATAATACAAAAAAAAATATTAAAAATAAAATGCCCACTACTTGTACCTTTGAATTGGATCGTTTAAATCCAATTTATTCTTCTGGTGAATATGTTAATGGACGCATTATACTTAAAACCGATAAAATCAAACGAGTAAATTGTGAGTGCAAAGATTTTCTTTTGTAGTGATGTAATAATTAATTATATTTTATTTTCATTCATTTTAACGCCTCTCAGCTGTCTATGTTACACTGGAGGGCGAGGCCAAAGTTCAATGGTCCATTAGTGGCAAAGAAACGGCCAGTTATTGTGGTCGTCAACAGTATTTGTATTCACGTGCCAATGTTTTCGATAACTCCGATTTTGCTGCCGGTAAACATGTTTACGTTTTAACTTTACGCATACCACCCGACTGCCCATCATCCGTTAAGGGTCCTTATGGTTATATAGCTTATAATATTTCTGTGGTCATCGATAAACAGCGGAGTTTTGATGAAGTCTTCCGAAAGCCTATATGTGTAATACAGACCTTGGATTTAAATTTTCATCCGGAATATTCGGTAAGATTAGAAAATTTTTATTTAGTATGAACATTTTCTTTAGAAAATTTATATTTTTAGTTGAAATTTAAAAATTTTAGTTGAAAATATAGAATTATAGTTGGAAATAGTTTTCAAAGGTAAATGTTTCTCATTTGTATATGGATGTATAATTAGTCAATCAGTTAGTTAGTTAGTTAGTTAGTTAGTTAGTTAGTTAGTTAGTTAGTTAGTTAGTTAGTTAGTTAGTTAGTTAGTTAGTTAGTTCGTTCGTTCGTAGTTAGTTCGTTAGTTAGTTCGTTCGTTCGTTCGTTAGTTAGTTCGTTCGTTCGTTCGTTCGTTCGTTCGTTAGTTCGTTCGTTTCGTTAGTTCGTTCGTTCGTTCGTTCGTTTCGTTCTTTCGTTCGTTCGTTCGTTCGTTCGTTTCGTTCGTTCGTTCGTTCGTTCGTTCGTTCGTTCGTTCGTTCGTTCGTTCGTTCGTTCTTCGTTCGTTCGTTTCGTTCGTTCGTTAGTTAGTTCGTTTCGTTCGTTCGTTTCGTTGTTCGTTCGTTCGTTCGTTCGTTCGTTAGTTCGTTCTTTCGTTCGTTCGTTCGTTCGTTTTCGTTCGTTCGTTCGTTCGTTTCGTTCGTTCGTTCGTTCTTCGTTTTCGTTCGTTCGTTCGTTCGTTCTTCGTTTTGTTCGTTCGTTTTCGTTCGTTCGTTCGTTCGTCTTCGTTCGTTCTTCGTTTCGTTCGTTCGTTCGTTCGTCGTTCGTTCTCGTTCGTTCGTTCGTTCGTTCGTTCGTTCGTTCGTTCGTTCGTTCGTTGTTCGTTCGTTTCGTTTCGTTCGTTCGTTCGTTCTTTCGTTCGTTCGTTCTTGTTCGTTCGTTCGTTCGTTCGTTCTTTTCGTTCGTTCGTTCGTTCGTTCGTTTTCGTTCGTTCGTTCGTTCGTTCGTTCGTTCGTTCGTTCGTTCGTTCGTTCGTTCGTTCGTTTCGTTCGTTCGTTCGTTCGTTCGTTCGTTCGTTCGTTCGTTCGTTCGTTCTTTCGTTCGTTTTCGTTTTCGTTCGTTCGTTCGTTCTTCGTTCTTCGTTCGTTCTTTCGTTCGTTCGTTCGTTCGTTCGTTCGTTCGTTCGTCGTTCGTTCGTTCGTTCGTTCGTTCGTTCGTTTCGTTTTCGTTCTCGTTCGTTTCGTTCGTTCGTTCGTTCTTTCGTTCGTTCGTTCGTTCTTTTCGTTCGTTCGTTCGTTCGTTCGTTCGTTCGTTCGTTCGTTCGTTCGTTCGTTTCGTTCGTTCGTTTCGTTCGTTCGTTCGTTCGTTCGTTCGTTCGTTCGTTCGTTTCGTTCGTTCGTTCGTTCGTTCGTTCGTTCGTTCGTTCGTTCGTTCGTTCGTTCGTTCGTTTCTTCGTTCGTTCGTTCGTTCGTTCGTTCGTTCGTTCGTTCGTTTCGTTCGTTCGTTCGTTCGTTCGTTCGTTCGTTCGTTCGTTCGTTCGTTCGTTCGTTTCGTTCGTTCGTTCGTTCGTTCGTTCGTTCGTTCGTTCGTTCGTTCGTTCGTTCGTTTTTCGTTCGTTCGTTCGTTCGTTTCGTTCGTTCGTTCGTTCGTTCGTTCGTTCGTTCGTTCGTTCGTTCGTTCGTTCGTTCGTTCGTTCGTTCGTTCGTTCGTTCGTTCGTTCGTTCGTTCGTTCTTTCGTTCGTTCGTTCGTTCGTTCGTTCGTTCGTTCGTTCGTTCGTTTCGTTCGTTCGTTCGTTCGTTCGTTCGTTCGTTCGTTTTCGTTCGTTCGTTCGTTCGTTCGTTCGTTCGTTCGTTCGTTCGTTCTTTTCGTTCGTTCGTTCGTTCGTTCGTTCGTTCGTTCGTTCGTTCGTTCGTTCGTTCGTTCGTTTCGTTCGTTCGTTCGTTCGTTCGTTCGTTCGTTTTCGTTCGTTCGTTCGTTCGTTGTTGTTCGTTCTTCGTTCGTTCGTTTCGTTCGTTCGTTCGTTCGTTCGTTCTTCGTTCGTTCGTTCGTTCGTTCGTTCGTTCGTTCGTTCGTTCGTTCGTTCGTTTCGTTCGTTCGTTCGTTCGTTCGTTCGTTCGTTCGTTCGTTCGTTCGTTCGTTTTCGTTCGTTCGTTTCGTTTTCGTGTTCGTTCGTTCGTTCGTTTAGTTCGTTCGTTCTTCGTTCGTTAGTTAGTTGTTCGTTCGTTTTAGTTTTTTCGTTAGTTCGTTAGTTAGTTCGTTGTTCGTTCGTTCAGTTCCTTGTTAGTCGTAGTTAGTTCGTTGTGTTCGTTGTTGGTTCGTTCGTTAGGCCTTCCTTACGTTTCCGCCTCTGCCTAAACCCTTTTTGTCGCCGCTATAGTGGTGTAGGGTATAAAAATAGGAAATGGAATTTCTTAGTTAATAAAATTTAATTTTTAAATAAACAATTTTCATATTTCCAGCTACCGGTTAAAGAGGAAAACGTCAAATATCTCTGCCAATGGCCATGTACATCGGGACCACTATGTTTTACATTAATGCTACCTTACTCGGGCTTTATACCCGGACAACATGTAAAATATTTTCTCGAACTAGACAATCAGTCGCCACACTATGACATTATGGGCGTAGAAGCCTCACTAAAACAGCATTATGTATTTTTGGCGCGTAAACCAGTAAAACGTAATTTCTATACAAAATCTTTGGCAAAGAGTTCAATCGTTGAGCGTACATTGCGCTTGACCAAACGTTTGTATGAGGGTAATGTTTACATACCAACCGATACACCAAGGTCAACTTTAAATCTCAACTATATTGTGTTCATACATTATACATTACAAGTTAAACTAAAAACGGGTGCTTTTCATCATGATACGGATATTTCAGTGCCTGTGGTCATTGGCACAGTGCCATTGAGGCAATTCGAAGAGGAACAGAGAATAATGCAACGTAACTTTAATCGTGATTGTAATTTGTGCAGTGGCAGTACGTTGGGTGGCAGTTTGGTAACATCACAGCCAACCTTGCGTTTGCGACAGGAATTGGAGAATTTAATGGGTTCACAGGATATGGAAGAGGCGGAATTAAATCGGGCGGTGGAAAAGATGTTGGAAGATGAACCGCCATCATATGATAGTTGCTGTAAGTGGAGTTGTGTTAACAATTTGTTTAAAATGTTAAGAAATTACAATTTTTCTTTTAGTACCGCCTTCCTTTAGTTTTGCCACCACTTTTGGTAGTTTCAAGCAACAGGCCTTAGAAGTGGCCGAACTTAAGGCTGAAGAAAATCGTCGTATTAACATACAACTGCCACAATTTCCCGGCTATAATACCTTTAATTCTCATACTCAGGCTCCGAGTCAATCTAATGATTCTTTGTTACAATCGGGTAATATTTATAATTCATATGGTTCTATATATACAGACCACACGGGAAGATCTTTAGATACCCTGGATGTTTTAAGTTGTAGTGGTGCTGTTGTCGAGGATATAGAAGCAAACGAATGCGAACGTGTAGCTTGTAAGCAGTCCAGTAATAGTGACATTGTGGCTAGAGTTATGGCCGCGGTTAGTGAAAATGCTGGTCAGGCTGATATTGAATCGATTGCAGAGACTGAGGATTATAATGATAATGATTTAGAATCATTAGGATTTTCCGATGAAAGTGTACAGCTTGAAATTGACAATTAGTGTGGTGAGAAATTGAATTAGTAACTGAAACAAAATAAATCAGGTATAGTTTTATAGTTATATGAAAACAAGTTATTAAAAAAACCATATTAGCCATAATATAGAGTCAAAATTGCAGTATTTGTGAAATTTAAACACGTCCGTCCATATTGTGCTTTGCTAAGATTAAAATTTCAATCTGAGAATTGAGATGATTTTCGGACTATTACAATTTGAACGAATTAAAAAGGTTAAAAATCGGCCCATGATTTCACACACCATCTCCTTACAAATCCCCTTCTAAAATATCGTATTACGAAAATCGGAAAATCTAAATTCTAAGAATTCCTTTAAACTTTAAAAATTTCTTATTTTTACGATTTTGAGATCGATAAATAAATAAACCAGGACGCCATACGTCTCCTTAAAAAGTCCAAAAAAGGAGAGTATCATGTCTAAGCATGGTTCGAATATAATTTTTTTAAAACTTCTCACATGACTCGAGACTATTCTGCTTATTTTATCAAATTTGTAAAATGTAAAGAAATATAGTATTGTACAATATGGAAGCTTATGACCAATTGCAGATAATTTTATTTAAATTATATTAAAAATTGTACAAACTACTAATAACTCTTATAAATTACGCCAAAAATTTAGACTAAATTGTATCAATCTAGTGCTAAACTTTAATTAAAAATTATTAAGTAATCAAAATTTATTAAAAATCACATTAAATAACATTAACTTGATTAAACAAACCTATAATTACACATAATAGTTTTTTAACGATTTTATGAATCTAAAGTAATTAGAAAAATTTTTAATAATTTTTAGAATTTGCTTAATTTAATTCTAAATTACAAATGCCTTAAACAAAAATAACTACAAATTTTATTGTGTCTTATTATAAAATGTAATTGAAATAATTATTATATTAAACAAATAATGCCTTTCTAAAAAGAAAACAATTCTTAACTAATGACAATAATGAATAAATAAATAAAATTTTAACATAAATTTATATAATATGGACAAAAAAAAATACCAAATGTTATATTTTAATAACAGACATTGTAATAGTAAAATAAATATGTTAAATAACAGAACTTGTTTGAAACTAATTATTTAAAAAGCTTTTCAGAATGAGCTTTTAACAGTGAATGCTAACAGTAAAGTGAACTCACAGTGGTTAAACAATTAGTTTTTTGGAAATAATTTCGTCCACTATTGCATATATTGCAACGAAATTTAATATATCATGTCTAAAGTGATTTGGAAACCTGTTATTTTGTAAGTTACGATATCTGTAACATATCGAATAATCATTGCCTATAACCATATACAGGCGTTAAAGTCAATTATGGGATGATAACCATCGTCAATTATGGGCCGATAATCATCGTTCATATTAAACTTGTTTATGTCAAATTTCTTTGTTTTAAACCATTAATACTTTGAAGGCGATCTCATATGGGAGATAGGGTCAATTATGGACAGATCGTTTTACAATGTGTTAGAGAGATTTTGGTTTGTATAAAACATGTGTACGATGAATTTGAAGACAGTAATGAGCGTTAAAATCATTTTCTGAAGGGGACTATATGTGGGGGGTTGGGTCAATTATAGACCGATCCTGATTTAATTTGGTAGAGAGATTTTTATACATGTATTATTGATCATGTCGAAGTTCATCGATATACTGTAATTTTAAAACAGATATGACTGTTAGAATTGTTTTCCGGAGGGACACTTGTATCGTGCTTTTAACAGACAGACCGACGGACATAGCTAGATCGTCTTAGAATATAGTTCTATATATATGGGCATTTCCAATGAAAAGTCTACTTTGATCACATCACGTTAAGCATCATTAACTGCATATATCTTGGGAAAATATATATTTTTATTTGCTGATGTTTATAACACACAAAAATATTCGTCCTATACCCACCTTAAAGTATACCAATCGGCTTAGAATCGTTTTCTGAATCGATTAACGCCTTTTATAACCCAAAAACGAAGCCTATTGAAAATGATTAAAATCATTTGACCCTAGCTCCCATACAAAGTCCCTTTCAGAAAATTACTTGAATGTCCAAAATTAACTTATAAAAACAAATATCTCGATGAAATTCGGCACAAATAAATACTATATAAGTATAAATATATTTACAAAATTTGATCAGGCTTGGTCCATATTTGCTCCAAGCCCCCATATAAAGTCTCTTTCAGAAAATTAGTTTTTCATCCATAAATTGTTTAAATGTATCGGAAGAAGGTAATATTGAAGATAAATGCTTTATTATAAAAAATAAATCACATTTAATATTCATAACTGGTATCTTATAGTCGGTCACGCCCTATACTTTCTTACTTGTTGATATTGGAATTGGAAGGAATGGTCCTAAGATATTGTCAATTAATGTGCGTGACGTTTTCTACAAAAATAAATGTTTATCAAAATAAAAAATATATAGAAAAACTGCTGAAAATATAAAAAATTTTTTATAAAAAAAAAAAATTTATCGAAAATTTTCTATAAAAAGAAATTTTTATCAAAAATTTTCTATAAAAAGTAATTTTTATCGAAAAATTTCTATAAAAAGTAATTTTTATCGAAAAATTTCTATAAAATGTAATTTTTATCGAAAAATTTCTATAAAAAGAAATTTTTATCGAAAAATTTCTATAAAAACAAATTTTTATTGAAAAATTTCTATAAAAAGCAATTTTTATCGAAACATTTCTATAAAAAGCAATTTTTATCGAAAAATTTCTATAAAAAGTTATTTTTATTGAAAAATGTCTATAAGAAGAAATATTTTTGTAAAAGTAAATTTTTATCGAAAATTTTTTAAAAATAAATTTTATCGAAAATTTTTTATAAAAAGTAGTTTTTATATAAAATTTTTATAATAAGAAATTTTTATCGAAAAATGTCAATAAAAAGAAATTTTTATCGAAAAATATCTATAAAATAAAAATTTTATCGAAAATTTTCTATAAAAAGAAATTTTTATCGAAAATTTTCTATAAAAACAAATGTTTATTGAAAATTTTTTATAAAAAGTAGTTTTTATCAAAAATTTTCTATAAAAAGAAATTTTTATAAAAAAATTTCTATAAGAAGAAATTTGTATAAAAAGAAATCAAAAATTTTTTATAAAAAGAAATTTTTATCAAAAATTTACTATAACAAGAAGTTTTTATAATTTTTATCGGAAACTTGCTATGAAAGGAATTTTTATCGGAAATTTTCTGTGTAAATAAATTTTTATTCAAAGTTTTCTATAAAAGGAAATATTTATCGAAAATTTTTTATAAAAATAAATTTTCATGAGAAATTTTCTTAAAATATATATTTTTTTTTTAATTAAATTCATGGTGTTTTCCGGAATTTGTATCCTATCAGTTATTTATGAATCAATTTAACTGCTGTATATAATTATACAAGACTTGGATCCAGAAGATATGTGAGAGGCCTTTGATTCCTAATATAAGAGTTCTATGTGAAAAAATAACGAAAATCTGTGGTTGTATTAAAAACCTAAAGTTGGCTGTAGTTCTCAAAAAGAAAACAACAAAAATATGTGACACTTTTGTTCTCCGCCGTATGGTTCATCTGAAATCACCGAGTCCAGATATATGTATGTACATATATTCCAACTGGTTAATTAAATACTTTCTTTAAATTCAAAATATGCATGAGATATTCAATAAAATAGATTAAAACAAATGTAAAATTAACATAACTTGTATGCATTTTGCAAATAAAACATATTGAATTATCGATTAACCATTGACTGATAAGATAATGGAAACCGAACGAACGACAGCTGAAAGTGATAGCGTTATAAAAAACAAAATAAATAAAACACTGACAATAGTAGACAAACAGTAAACAGTTGCTAGTCATAAGCTAAATAATAAAAGTAAACGCTTTAAGTTATTAAAAAATACAATAAAATAAATCCCAAAAAAAGTGAAGATGTGTACAACATCATGTACCATAGAATTTGAAAATGCTAACCAATGCTATCGGCCGGGTGAAGTTATCAAGGGTCTAGTGATTTTTAATATTAACGGCACCAGTACTATACTAATCAAAGGTGAATAACCAAAAATAATAAATGAGTCATAATAATAAGTAACAAGTGTTTATTATTTAATATCAATAATTTTACTTCTGCACATATTTTAAAGCTTTATCACTACAATTTACCGGGTTTGCTTGCACCAGATGGGAGAAAACTGAAAAGGTTAAAAAATCTCGAAAACAAAAACCTAAAATTTATATAGAAAATAGAGAAGATTATGTGTCTACTACAAATTATTTAATTGGTTCAGAAATGGCTAATCCTAAGCCTTTAGAACCGGGAAGATATACCTACAATTTTATGGTACAAATACCACAAAATGTGCCCTCGACATTTGACAGTCCTTTGGGTTTTATACGCTATGAGTTAACAGTTAATGCTGATTATTCCGATCACATAGAACAACTTTACAACTCAGCTTTACATATAGAACAGTTAAAAGATTTAAGACTATTAGATGCAGCGGTGCAGTTACCCGAAGAAAGAGAGCAATTGGAACAAAAATCCTGCTTAAAATTCTGGCAGAAGCCGCTACAACTTTATGTCAGTGTTCCACAGAAAGCTTTCGTAGCCGGGGAATGTATCTCTGTACATATTAAACTAACAAATCTGGCTAAATTAAAACTTAATTCAATAACCAGTAATTTAAATCGTATTGCTACCTATAAAGGTTTTATAAATGAAAAAACACCCCAGACTACTACTGAAATTACGACAATTGCCTCAAATATTCATAGTTTATATGGTCAAAATTCCAATATCATACAACATTTACAGCAAATTTTTATACCCCAAGTCCCGCCCACTATGGCCTTTGATGAATGTAAGTGCATAGGTTTACAATACGAATTGGAAGTTTTGGTAATATGTCAAAATAAAAAGAGATGGGTTAGAACTACTATACCCATTTTAATGGGTACTGTATCATTGAAAAGTGATGTTAAAATTGTACCCCTTAATGTGATCAACAACAATACTAATGTGGCTTCAATAACAGTCGCTAGATCAATGGAAGAGTTGACTTTGCCATCTGTTATGGATTTGCAGCCGAATATCGTTGTAATGCAAGCAACAGAAATCAGTGCTTCCATGGGGTCTTTGAGTAAGTACTTATGATTATAGATATAATACATATAATTTCTTATGCATATTTTTATAATTAAACCCAAAAAATGTTGTTGTACAGACGAGAACTTATATACTTATGCCCGTCCGTTCCGTACTAGCTTATGTATCAGTTTAGAGTCTATTCTATGGACTAGTCTATGTGTGTTCTATAATATATTGACTAGTCTATCAAATAGCTATATCTGCAAGTTTGTGGACTAGTCTAGTCCATGGACCAGGATATAGACTATTCTATATTGACTATTCTATGGACTAGTCTCTTGATTAGTCTGTTGACTGTGGGATCAATGAATAAATCTTGGACGATTCTCAGTACACTTGACTAGTCAATGGGCTAGTTTATTGATTAATCTTTGAACTAATCTAGTCGGTTGACAAATACATATATGGAGTAATCTATGATCTTTATAATTTGTAAAACACCTTAATTACTTAAAATTAATATTTTCTTATATTCTCTACAGCATCCACTTTTAAAGAAGCCGAATTTATGACTGGTGTTCAGTTAAATAAAAAGTCTCGACATCAAATTACTGGAGATTTAACAGATTTTAAGCCAAAATATTTATATTACGATTTACCGGAGGAATTACAACATAATCTACAAGATGATATACCCACAACTAGTCAACAAAGTAGACAAAATAATGAATATACTGAAAAGATTGAAATGTTATGATTGGCGATATATAATCATAATTAACTAGTTTTAATATAAATAAAAAATATATTTAAATTTTATATACATAATATTATAAAAGATATTTTATTAATTTTAATAAAATAGTCATATGTTTTGAATGATGTCCTAACAGTAACTGAATTAAGTTCTACAGAATCAATTTAGAGCAGCGTGCTCTCTTGAAGTCCTTATTTCACGCATACGTATACTCACACATGTATAAAAAAAAACTTGTCAGAGAACTTTTTATACCCTACACCACAATAGTGGGGAGGGTATATTGTGTTTGTGCTGAAGTTTGGTCCTATACCCACCTTAAAGTATACCAATCGGTTTAGAATCAATTTTCTAAGTCGATGTCCGTCCGTCTGTCTGTCCGTCCGTCCATGTAAACCTTGTAATAAAATTACAGGTCGCAATTTTGAAGATAATTCAAAGATCTTCTATGGTACCGGAGACGAAGCCTATTGAAAACGGTTAACATCGGTCCATTATTTCACCTAGCCCCCATACAACTCAACCCGCCGAATAGGGCTCTTAAATTAATAATTATGTTTAATATACTCGTATCTCGAAGTTCTATACTAGCCTTGATGACCCTCATGAATTTTATAATAATAGTATAGCCCTATACAAAACCCCCCTTCAAAATTTGACTTAAATGTCCACAATTTTATTAAACAATAAATGGCTTAAGTATATCTGAGACAAGGTACAATTCAACTTAAATACCTTATTATGAAAACTAAATCTCATTTTATTTTTGTAACAGTCGGCCTCGCCCGACTATAATTTCTTACTTGTTTACTCTCTTTCATTCGCTGATTTAGATCAGATATAGGCGAAGTGCTCTTTTACTTTATTGCTTCACACGTACGTTAGCTAGCATATGTACAAAAAACATGAAATACCCGTGAGAAAGTTAACTTAAAACTATCACTATAACTCATTTAGAGCAATCGTAACCAAAAGAGAAGTGTCACGATTATGTATTACTGAGATAAACACGCATTTGTCTTAAGAACACGTAGCAATTTTTCTGAAAAGACGATGCTGAATCAGTTTTTCACGTTCGTCTATATAAGTATATGATATTAGAGCTTTAGGTTTGGGATAGATATCAATTTTGTTTGGACTAGCGCTAAGGAGATGATGATGATTGTAGGAGTTGAATACTTCTTACAAAGAGTAAAGGTAATACTTCAGCATGGAAGTTTATTTCGGTACGGATGAAGAATACATTTGTCCACTGACGAATCGATCACAATAGAATCTGTTCTAGATAAAAGATATCTGTTGCGTAAAAATATACGGGTATCGGGGGGAAGTTTCGTATTCCTAAAATTTTGGGATATATGATTTTCTGTTTTTATTACAAAAATTTATAAAAATATTTAAAAATATATTCGAGCATAAACTGCAAAACTTAATTATTACTTTGTGAATATGTGGGATACAACGGACTAAAGCCTATATGACGATTATGTTCATCTACCTCAATATCTATAAAAGGTGAACCACTACGTATAGCTTCTTCGAAAGATGGAGGACCTGAAAACAAAAAGAAGATAATACAATTAATTTATATCATTATTTAAAATCCATTAAATATATTTACATAATTCCTGATAACTTGGTGGCAAATCATTATCTCTTTCCTCATCCAATGTAAGATCGAGTGCTGTGGGTGCAGTGGCTCTAAAATTATCACTTTCAATGGGAGCTGTTGATGCAAAACTCTCTCTTAATGGTACATCACCAATAAATATTGGTATTCTTACACTATTAACTTTCTTTGCATTACAACCTCCTGTATTTAAAAGAACTTGTAATATATAACTTACACGTAAAATACCTGTATTCTCAGTACTAGGTGGTGTAGAAACTATTTGGAAATCACCATTAAAGATACGAGTGGTTGAGGTTTTACAAATATTATCATAAGTTTTCTTATATAATATGGTAATGTCATCACGTGACCTGAGATGCGGAGAATGGGCTGTAAATCTCATATTACGAGTAAATTCTATAGTGTAGCCATAGAGATCGTTCATTGATTGATTATGGATTTGAAGTGTAAATTTTATCCTTTGACCAATAGCATAGCCTCCAAAGGGAATTGAAAGTGTAGCAGTAATTTTGCCGCCCAGACAAAACCAACTGATGGAATTATATATATCCTCACTTGTAACAGGAGTCTGAATAAAAAGTTTTAATAAAAATAATTACATATTTAGATATTTTAGAATTTGTCACTTTTACCCTAAATGCTGGATTTAAATTTAAATCTTGTGATTTTATCACAGTCAATGGCTTACTAAACGTATTATCAAAACGTGATGGCCTTCTTAGCATTAACGCCAGTATGTAGCGTATATGACCAAAACGTCCTTCACAAGCGGTGGGACATTCTAGAGGTAGTTGTATTTCAAATTGATATGTATAAGTTCCGGGTTGTAGTGTACCTTCGCCATGAACCGTAGTGATATTGTCTATACAATTTGTTAGCCACAAAATTGATCGACTCATTTGTGTAGTTACCATCTGAATGTTTTCGTTTTTCATTTTCAGACCAACATACTTTGCCCTCGCCACGAAATATGATGCGTATGTCTAAAATAAGAGAAATATTTAAAGAAAAATTAGTTTAATTCGGTAAGATTGTGATAAGAGGTTTGTAAAGAAGTGGTCCTTTGAATAGGTAATTTTTCCGAAAATTTCTGGAACTCGAACAAATTTTCGAAAGAGGTATATTTTAAGCTGTGGCCTCCGGTAGGTTAGTGGTTGGTGTTTTAGCCTGGTGTGTTCGATTCCCACCTAACTAACTACTAACTAACTAACTAACTAACTACTAACTAACTACTAACTAACACTACTAACTAACTAACTAACTAACTAACTAACTAACTAACTAACTAACTAACTAACTAACTAACTAACTACTAACTAACTAACTAACTAACTACTAACTAACTAACTACTAACTACTAACTAACTAACTAACTAAACTAACTAACTAACTAACTAACTAACTAACTAACTAACTAACTAACTAACTAACTAACTAACTAACTAACTAACTAACTAACTAACTAACTAACTAACTAACTAACTAACTAACTAACTAACTAACTAACTAACTAACTAACTAACTAACTAACTAACTAACTAACTAACTAACTAACTAACTAACTAACTAACTAACTAACTAACTAACTAACTAACTAACTAACTAACTAACTAACTAACTAACTAACTAACTAACTAACTAACTAACTAACTAACTAACTAACTAACTAACTACTAACTAACTAACTAACTAACTAACTAACTAACTAACTAACTAACTAACTAACTAACTAACTAACTAACTAACTAACTAACTAACTAACTAACTAACTAACTACTAACTAACTAACTAACTAACTAACTAACTAACTAACTAACTAACTAACTAACTAACTAACTAACTACTAACTAACTACTAACTAACTAACTAACTAACTAACTAACTAACTAACTAACTAACTAACTAACTAACTAACTAACTAACTAACTAACTAACTAACTAACTAACTAACTAACTAACTAACTAACTAACTAACTAACTAACTAACTAACTACTAACTAACTAACTAACTAACTAACTAACTAACTAACTAACTAACTAACTAACTACTAACTAACTAACTAACTAACTAACTAACTAACTAACTAACTAACTACTAACTACTAACTAACTAACTACTAACTAACTAACTAACCTAACTAACTAACTAACTAACTAACTAACTAACTAACTAACTAACTAACTAACTAACTAACTAACTAACTAACTAACTAACTAACTAACTAACTAACTAACTAACTAACTAACTAACTAACTAACTAACTAACTAACTAACTAACTAACTAACTAACTAACTAACTAACTAACTAACTAACTAACTAACTACTAACTAACTACTAACTAACTAACTAACTAACTACTAACTAACTAACTAACTAACTAACTAACTAACTAACTAACTAACTAACTAACTAACTAACTAACTAACTACTAACTAACTACTAACTACTAACTAACTAACTAACTAACTACTAACTAACTAACTAACTAACTAACTAACTACTAACTAACTAACTAACTACTAACTAACTAACTAACTAACTACTAACTAGAACTAACTAACTAACTAACTAACTAACTAACTAACTACTAACTAACTAACTAACTAACTAACTAACTAACTAACTAACTAACTAACTAACTAACTAACTAACTAACTAACTAACTAACTAACTAAACTAACTACTAACTAACTAACTAACTAACTAACTAACTAACTAGCTAACTAACTAACTACTAACTCACTAACTAACTAACTAACTAACTACTAACTAACTAACTAACTAACTAACTAACTAACTAAATAACTACTAACTAACTAACTAACTAACTAACTAACTAACTAACTACTAACTAACTAAACTAACTAACTAACTAAACTAACTAACTAACTAACTAACTAACTAACTAAACTAACTAACTAACTAAACAACTAACTAACTACTAACTAACTAACTAACTAACTAACTACTAACTAACGAACTAACTGACTAACTTTAATGTAACGTAAATCACTCTATAAAGACTTTTAAGGGATAGGCCCATACATTTCCTTGACCACGTAATCGGGATAATCTCCCTAATAAAAAGCTAATATTGGCAACCTGGCACAATGTTTGACTATCAATGTTTTAGAGTCTTTGAAAATTATTTTTTGGAAATTATAAAAATACGTACATTTAAAACCACAGAAATCGTTGAACATACAAACAAAAAATTAACCAAGTTTTTATGTTTGTGTATTTATTTTTATCAGAATTCTAATTCACTCTGTATATAAAATGTACTCTCGTACATAAGTATGCACATCTTTCTAAAACATTGATACAAACATTTAATGTAAACATTTACATTAGCCGGCACAAAGTACTAAGTACAACATAATTTAGTACTTACCTCTTATATCTTTGGGGAATGAAGTCTTCAAAACTATCGCACCGCTAATAATTTCTCCACTATAGTAAACTCCATTGGAATTGCTTAGATCGAATTCACATATTGAAGACATTATTTTACAAAATATTTAATTTATATATTTTTTTTTGTAATTTTTAGTATACATATTTAATTTCACTTTATATTGATATTAAATTTCTGCAACACATTTACTTTTGAGAAAATAATGCAAAATGCGTAATTTAATGTTTATTCCGTAAAATGTTCTTAATTGCTAACATTCTATAGAATTAATAAAATACACAAAAGTTATAAACATTGTATCATACCAGTTTTTAGAAATATATACAGAGTAACATGCTTTTGGATTCATTCAATTTATTACTTTTCGAAATGTAAACACAAGTCAGACATGGAAATTTGATATTTTGAAATTAATTTCAACAGTAGTATCCAATATTAGCCATTGTTAGAAATGCTGTAGAAGTACTTCAAAACTACAGATTTTCAAGTTGACCTACCTAAGTCGATTAAACTACTAGGCCTTCACTATCTTTAAAACGCACATGTAGAAATTAAATATATATCTCAATATTTAATGTAAGATTTTCTTTTTTTACAATACTACAGAATTTTCCATCTCTGTTATATAAAAAAGTATACAAAACAGAGAGAGTATTAGAAAGAAATTAGAGAGAAAACATTTTAGAATACTCTTTTATATTAAATTTTTGGTTAAAAAATGTTTGTTTGTTTATATACCCTACGCCACTATAGCAGAGATAGGCTAAGTCGATTAAGTCATGATCATATGTATGTTTTAAAAATGTATACATATGTAAATATGCTCCAAAAACTTATTCTTAAATATACTCAGGGAAATTTGTATTATTTCCACCAGTATCCAGCAATAACTCGATAATAAATTGAACTTATATAACCACTTTTTATACCCACTATCAAAAAAGAATGACGGAATCACAAAATCAATATACACCCTCAATATTGATTTTGTAATTCCTTTTGTATCACCTCGAAATATTGGTCAAAGACCCACAAAAGTATATATTCGTCGTTATTAAATTCTATGACGATCTAGCCATGTCTGTCCGTCTATCTGTCTGTTGAAAACACGATAGAGTCCGAACGGAATGAGCTACACAAACATTCTCTATGGATAAGATTTGTTTGGTTTTCACGTTTTCGATAACCCCCATACAAGTGAACCCCCGAAAAAACAGCTTTAACGGGCACATCTGCTTCAAAAAAAAACGAGTATAGCGAAATGTGGCATAAATAAGTTTCATGTGAGTCAAACTTTTCCTACCAAATTTTATGTGGATCGGTCCATAATTGACCCTACCACCCATATAAGGTATCCTTCAGAAAATGACTAAAACTTTCATTACTGGCTTAAAATAGCGAATATAGCGATAAAATGAGAGGCAAAATGACTCTATTAAATTTTATGTGGATCGGTCCATAATTAACCCTACCCCCCATATAAGGCCCCCTTTAGAAATTGACTGTAATGCTCATTACTGGCTTGCATATATGAATATAGCGATAAAATTCGACACACATAGTTAAATGCGAGGCAAAAATACTCTACCAAATTTTATGTAGATCGGTCCATAATTTACCCTACTCCCATATAAGGTCCCCTTCAGAAAATGACTTTAACGCTCATTACTGGCTTTAAAATCCAAGTATAGTATGAAATAAATAAGTCTCTTATGAGCTAAAGCCTCTCACCAAATTCTATGTACATGGGTCCATTATTGACTCAACATCCGATATAAGGTCCCCTTCAGAAAATGACTTTAACGCTCACTACTGGCTTAAAAATACGAATTAGTATATAGATTACAAGGTTTGCAAGCCCTATTCAGGGGTTGAGGTGTAAGGGGGCTAGGTGAAATATAGACCGATCTTAACCATTTTCAATAGACTTCGTCTTCCGGTACAATAGAAGATCATGTGCCAAATTTAATTGAATTATCATCAAAATTTCGACTTGTATTTTGATTACACTGTTTACAAGCCCTAATCAGGGGATCAGTTGTATGGGGGCTAGGTGAAATAATAGGCCGATCTAAACTATTTTCATTGAATTATCTTCAAAATGGCGACCTGTAGTTTGATTACAAGTATAGACGGACGGACATAGCTAAATCGACTCAGAAAATGATTGGTATACTTTAAGGTGGGTATAGGACCAATATTATAGTGCGTTACAAACATCAGCATAAACCCAATACACCCTCCCCACTAAAGTGGTGTAGGGTATAAAACAATTTTTTCTGGGTTGTTCAATGTTTAATCTAATAAATACTGTTTCCTACTATTAAGACTAGGGTTCTATAAATCGACTTTCGAATAATCGAACAATCGACTTTTTGTCGAAAAAAGTCGAAAAGTCGAAGTCGACTATTTTGTTCCAAAAAAGTCGATAACTCGACTATCGTCTGTGAAAAATGTCGAAAAATCGACTTTGTTAATAAAAGTCGAAAAAAGTCGAAAGTCGAATAAAGTCGAAGAAAGTCGAAAAAAAGTCGAAAAGTCATAAAAAGTGGAAAAGTCGGAAAAAGTCGAAAAAAGTCGGAAAAAGTCGAAAAGTCGGAAATTGTAGAAAAAAGTCAAAAATAGTCAAAAATTTTAAAAAAGTGGAAAGAAGTCAAAAACTCTAAAATAGTCGGAAAAACTCGAAAAAAGTCAAAAAATAGTCGAAAGTCGAAAATAGTCAAAAAGTTGAAAAAAATCGAAAAGTCGAAAAAAGTCGAAAAAAGTCGGAAAAGTCGAAAAGTCGACTATTTATAAAATACTTATAGTCGAAAAGTCTAAAAGTCGACTTTAATTAAATGAAAAAAGTCGAAAAGTCGACTTTTAACTAAATGAAAAAAGTCGAAAGTCGAAAAGTCGACGTTTCGTTTCAACTATAGAACCCTAATTTAAGACTATTAAAATTGTTGATTATTTACAGAATCCAAATAGTGTCTCCCAAATTTACAAATACTTCTATGAGGGGATACAAATAGAGTAAATCAGTGCGTTTGTCAAAAAAAAAAAACACTGCGAGAGAAATAACAAATCAGGGATGGAAAATTCAATACCTTTGTTATTTCTGTAGGTAGATCATTGAATAATAAAGAGACTAGTCCAAGAATTATTGAACAGTCTAGTCCAAAACTCAAATTTTTTTAGTAACGGTAGTATATATAATAGAATATAATTTATTTAAAATAATATATTTCCAGTAATATATAATAAATGCCAAAGCATATGTATATTCTTATATAGTTCTTAAATATATTTGAGGTAGATCAACTAAGCAGCAAGACCATTGCAGACAAACAACGACCATATTATATTATTTTTATCAGTTTCAAACAAGAATCACTCCTTTAATGGCAGACCTATAAATATATCAATAAACTTATAAAATAATGTATATTTATTGACAAAATGCAAAATACCCAAATCCTTATAACAAGATGGTAAATTGCTACTTGTTTGCTTATCCAATGTTACTGCAGGTGCTGTGCATGTAACAAAGGGAAAATTTTCCAAAGGTATATTGTCTGTCAATGGTATAGTACCAATAAATATTGGCATATGTATACTCTTGTCCTTATTACAACCCGCCATATTTAAGGTAACATTCAGTAGATATTGTACCTTTATAATACTCTCACCTGTAGTGGAGGGTGTTGTAGGGCGTATAGGAAATGTGCCGTCGAAAATGCGAGTAGTCAAACGTAAACATTCAACATGATGAGTTTTTTCATATATAATTGTCTCGTCGTCACGAGTCTTGGGTTTGGGTTCATGAGCAGTAAAGGTAAGTTTACGAATAAATTCTATGGTATAGCCAATAATATCGATCAACGATTGATTCTGTACGTGTATCGAGTACTTGACACTTTGACCTATGGCATAGCCGCCAAAGGGTGTATTAAGTTTGACATTCATATTACCCTTCGAACACAAACAAAAACAGAATGTAAAGAGATCCTCAGTTTGAATGGGAATCTAAAGGGAAATAAAGCAAATGTATATTACAAATTATTGAATCATTCATTTCACTACTTACCCCTAAATCTGGATTAAGATTTAAATCCTGTGGTTTAATAACATTCAACTCTTTATTGAATACATTATCGAAACGGTAGATTCTTATGATTTTAAGTGTTAGACTGTAGCGTATGTTACCATAGCGGCCCTCACAGGAGGTGGGACATTCAAATGGTAGAAACATTTGAAAATTATATGTATGAATTCCTGCAGGCAGAGTTCCCTCGCCATGTACAGTTGTGGTGTTATCAATATACAATTCATTTGATTCATAATGAGTAGTTTGATTTACTTTTCCTAGCCTTTTAGTTTTTTTCCAACATACATTTGCTTCGCCAAGGAATATTATGCTTATGTCTAAAATTAAATAAATAATATAATTTTTAACAAGAAGGTAATATTTAGCTAGATACATATTAACAAGTAAGAAGTCTATATTCGCCTTTGTCGAATCTTATATACCTTTCACCATAGTGTGTTAAAATTGTTTAAAAATTATTAATTTTAATAAATTTAAATTTGTTCCATTATCCCGACATTCAACAACGCCAAATGCTACCCTATAAATATCATGGATAGATTTTGTTTTTTATAGAACTTGTTTATGTTAAATTTCATCGATATAGTCGAATTTTTAATAATTAAAACTCGTAAAGAATGAAAACTCGTCTAAGAATGAAAAATGTTCTTAAGTATAAACTTTTTATGTCGATTTTCAGCGCCGTACTTGTTATTTTCAGAATCCTCCTCGTCAAAGAGGAGAAACTTAGTTACGTCGAATTTCATAAATTTCAATGGGGGTGGAGCTATCCGAAAACGTGAACCAATATTGCCCATTTTCCAAACAAACCTTATCAATAGAGAATATTTGTGAAAAATTTCAACTGTCAAGCTCCTCCCGTGTGGTCTTTATCGCGATTTCAACAGAAGGACGGACATGGCATGACAAAATCAATATATCCCCATCTTTTTTGATGGTAGTTAGTTTGTATTTAGTTAGTTAGTTAGTTAGTTAGTTAATTAGTTAGTTAGTTAGTAGTTAGTAGTTAGTAGTTAGTTAGTTAGTTAGTTAGTTCGTAGTTAGTTAGTTAGTTAGTTAGTTAGTTAGTTAGGTGTTAGTTAGTTAGTTAGTTAGTTAGGTAGTTAGTTAGTTAGTTAGTTAGTTAGTTAGTAGTTAGTTAGTTAGTTAGTTAGTTAGTTAATTAGTTAGTTAGTTGTTAGTTAGTTAGTAGTTTAGTTAGTTAGTTAGTAGTTAGTTAGTTAGTTAGTTAGTTAGTTAGTAGTTAGTTAGTTAGTTAGTTAGTTAGTTAGTAGTTAGTTAGTTAGTTAGTTAGTTAGTTAGTTAGTTAGTTAGTTAGTTAGTTAGTTAGTTAGTTAGTTAGTTAGTAGTTAGGTTAGTTAGTTAGTTAGTTAGTAGTTAGTTAGTTAGTTAGTTAGTTAGTTACGTTAGTTAGTTAGTTGTTAGTTAGTTAGTTAGTTAGTTAGTTAGTTAGTTAGTTAGTTAGTTTAGTTAGTTAGTTAGTTAGTTTATTTTTTAGTTAGTTAGTTAGTTAGTTAGTTAGTTAGTTAGTAGTTAGTTAGTTTAGTTAGTTAGTTAGTTAGTTAGTTAGGTTAGTTAGTTAGTTAGTTAGTTAGTATAGTTAGTTAGTTAGTTAGTTTAGTTCGTTAGTTAGTTAGTTAGTTAGTTAGTTAGTTAGTTAGTTAGTTAGTTAGTTAGTTAGTTAGTTAGTTAGTTAGTTAGTTAGTTAGTTAGTTAGTTAGTTAGTTAGTTAGTTAGTTAGTTAGTTAGTTAGTTAGTTAGTTAGTTAGTTAGTTAGTTAGTTAGTTAGTTAGTAGTTAGTTAGTTAGTTAGTTAGTTAGTTAGTAGTTAGTTAGTTAGTTAGTTAGTAGTTAGTTAGTTAGTTAGTTAGTAGTTAGTTAGTTAGTTAGTTAGTTAGTTAGTTAGTTAGTTAGTTAGTTAGTAGTTAGTTAGTTAGTTAGTTAGTTAGTTAGTTAGTTAGTTAGTTAGTTAGTTAGTTAGTTAGTTAGTTAGTTAGTTAGTTAGTTAGTTAGTAGTTAGTTAGTTAGTTAGTTAGTTAGTTAGTTAGTTAGTTAGTTAGTTAGTTAGTTAGTAGTTAGTTAGTTAGTTAGTTAGTTAGTTAGTTAGTTAGTAGTTAGTTAGTTAGTTAGTTAGTTAGTTAGTTAGTTAGTAGTTAGTTAGTTAGTTAGTTAGTTAGTTAGTTAGTTAGTTAGTAGTTAGTTAGTTAGTTAGTTAGTTAGTTAGTTAGTTAGTTAGTTAGTTAGTTAGTTAGTTAGTTAGTTAGTTAGTTAGTTAGTTAGTTAGTAGTTAGTTAGTTCGTAGTTAGTTAGTTAGTTAGTTAGTTAGTTAGTTAGTTAGTTAGTTAGTTAGTTAGTTAGTTAGTTAGTTAGTTAGTTAGTTAGTAGTTAGTTAGTTAGTTAGTTAGTAGTTAGTTAGTAGTAGTTAGTTAGTTAGTTAGTTAGTTAGTTAGTTAGTTAGTTAGTTAGTTAGTTAGTAGTTAGTTAGTTAGTTAGTTAGTAGTTAGTTAGTTAGTTAGTTAGTTAGTTAGTTAGTTAGTTAGTTAGTTAGTTAGTTAGTAGTTAGTTAGTTAGTTAGTTAGTTAGTTAGTTAGTTAGTTAGTTAGTTAGTTAGTTAGTTAGTTAGTAGTTAGTTAGTTAGTTAGTTAGTTAGTTAGTTAGTTAGTTAGTTAGTTAGTTAGTTAGTTAGTTAGTTAGTTAGTTAGTTAGTTAGTTAGTTAGTAGTTAGTTAGTTAGTTAGTTAGTTAGTTAGTTAGTTAGTTAGTTAGTTAGTTAGTTAGTAGTTAGTTAGTTAGTAGTTAGTTAGTTAGTTAGTTAGTAGTTAGTTAGTTAGTTAGTTAGTTAGTTAGTTAGTTAGTTAGTTAGTTAGTAGTTCGTTAGTTAGTTAGTTAGTTAGTTAGTTAGTTAGTTAGTTAGTTAGTTAGTTAGTTGGTTGGTTGGTTGGTTCGTTCGTTCGTTCGATGTTTTCTGGTTAGTTGACTGTGTAAATGTACTTTTATAGAAATTTAAATTTTTATGTTGACAAATGCATTTTAATTAAAAAAATATTCAAGCGTGTTTATACACAGAAAAAACTGAAAAACGATTTCAATTACCAAAACCTCGTTTTCAATTATTTTATTTTTTGAAGTTCAACCTATAACAAAAATTGTATATTCAATTACTACTTATAATTGGTTTCGTACACAAATTTTTATTTTTTTCTATTTTTGTTGTTGTTAAATACGTATTTGATTATACATTTTTATGAATCAAATACAAAATGAATTGAACCTTTTTAAAATTATTGATTAATCGTTTAATTGAAAATTTTTAAAAATTAATTTTTTCTGTGTACATACATTCATATACATACATATGTATGTATCATATATTTTTTTATTAAATTTCGGTAAAATTCTAAAATTAATTCACAACACCATCTTTTCCTTTCTACAAACCTCTGACATCTTTGGGAGCGGTTGTATTTAAAATAATTTCACCACTAATAGTGTCGCCACTTTGATAAACTGCATTAGGTTTGTTTAACTTAAATTCACATGTTGATGGCATTATTTTGCTTAGATTTTTATTTATTTTCCAATTATTATATGCCTAACGTCAACAGTTGTTGGATTTCTATTATTGTTACTTAAAATCCAAAAATAAGTATATATTCATAAAATCACCAATCTAATTGCGTAGTTTAATATTCATACTACGAGTTACTTTTTATTACTGAACTTTTTTATATGCCTTCATAGTGGGCCACAGTTGCCAGATACATTTGGCGCATAATTGACAAACTGAATGCATCTTAAAAATAATAAATAATTTTTGATTAAATTAAAGAAGGTATGTAGGTATATGTAAATAAAATTGTTAAAATGCCTTGACTAATAATTAAATTTTAATTTTGTATAATAATTTTGTTTTATAGAATTTATTCTACTTATAATTTGCTATTTTGTCAAAATTATAATGTGCAATTTTTATATTTTAAAATCGCGAAATCTGGCAACAGTCATAGTCTCTCCTGTAGGAATGTTCATACATGTGTACAGACATACATATGCGCTGAACAATTTTTGCCGAATGCGGTCAGACATCGTTACTCTACGCAAGTTACCGATTTCGTGTCTGACGCGTCGGTAAGAAAACATTATGAAAATTATAGGGGATGTTGCACCGATTTCGTAACTCATTATCTGTGGAAATTTGGAAAGTCATTACTAAGTTTTTGCTGGGAAATTCTATAAAATTCCTTTTTTATACCCTTCACCACCAACAGTGGTGATAGAGGGTAATATACATATAAGTTTGTCATTCCGTGTGTAACACCAAGAAATATTCATCTAATATGTTTTTTGTACATACAAATTATTCTACCAATTTTTTTCGGATCGGTCCATTATTGGTTATAGCTCCCATATAAGGTCCACTTCCGAAAATAACTTAAACGCATATATTTCTTTTGAATAATAAAGCTATCGGGATAAAGTACAACTTGAATATGTTTTGTGTACATATAAATCATTCTACCAAATTTTTTCCGGATCGGTCCATATATAGTAATAGCTCACTTCAAAAAATCACTTAAACGCACATATATCATTATCAAAAATCGATATAGATATGTTTTTTGTACATATAAAATTCGACATAAATGTGTATTTTTTTATATATAAATCACTATACGGTTTTTTTTCCGGATCGGTCCATGAGTTGACCTAGCTCCCATATAAGTGTTGCTTCTGAAAATCAGACATAAGTATGTGTTGTGTATAGATAAATCATTCTATTAAAATGTTTTTGAACTGGCCTATTAACATACATTTTTCTGGACCTAATAAAAATTAGTTCGACATATGCATAAATGTTAGTACCCTCACTACGGAAACAGAAATTTTGTCAAGTTATATATAAGTCAAGTTATATATAAGTCAAGTTATATTGCTAGTGGAGGGTATTTATGATTCGACATATCCGAATTTAGCACTATAACTTTTTAAATATGTACTTGATGAATTTCTAAATATGAGCACTGTTTTTGAAAAAATAAAATAACATTTCTTTTAGAGAATGTGCAGATTTGTCGTATATAATTCGTGTACCTTATACTCTTTCATATCAGAACATGTGCAGACCATTCTCTTAATGTCTAAAGAAACAAGTAAACAAGTGAGAGTACTATGTATGTATATACCCAGCAAAAACTTACTCATAAAACTAATGAGTTAAAAGGCTATTAAGAATAATTTTATGGATTGGCATTTTAATTCATTATTTTAACAATTCGGTATCATTAAAGCTAATTACTTACCACGTCCGCTTACAAATAAGTACTTAAATAAGTTATTACAAACTGAAAATTTAAAAGTTATTTTTTAAACACAAACGATATAGATATAAAATTCGAACCTGGATCTCTTGTTCTTTAGTCCTCTCTTGTACTGACCACACCTCTGTTTAGTTATTTTATGGTTAATCAAATAATAATTATACCCTACACCACTTTAGTGGGGAGGGTATATTGGGTTTGTGCTGATGTTTGTAACGCACAATAATATTGGCCCTATACCCACCTTAAAGTATACCAATCGGGTTAGAATCATTTTCTGAGACAATTTAGCTATGTCTGTCCCTCTGTCCGTCCTTGTAATCAAACTACAGGTCACAATTTTGAAGATAATTCATTCATGAAATTTGGTACATGACCTTTTATTGTCACAGGGACGAAGCCTATTGAAAATGGTTTACATCGGTCCATTATTTCACCTAGCCCCCATACAACTGAACCCCCGAATAGGGCTTGTAAACCTTGTAATCAAACTACAGGTCGCAATTTTAAAGATAATTCAATGAAATTTGGCACATGATCTTCTATGTTACCGGAAACGAAGCCTATTGAAAATGGTTAACATCTGTCAATTATTTCACCTAGCCCCCATACAACTGAACCCGCCGAATAAGGCTCTTAAGTTCATAATTATGTTTAATATACTTGTATCTTGACAAAAAGCTACAAAACCAAGTTCTATACTAGCCTCGATGATTCTCATGAATTTTGTAATTATAGGGTCTCATTTGACCATAGCCCCTATACAAAGCCCCCTTCAAAATTTGACTTAAATATCCACAATTTTATTAAACAATAAATGGCTTAAGTACATCTGAGACAAGGTACTATTCAACTTAAACGCTTTATTATGAAAACTAAATCGCATTTTAATTTTGTAACAGGTGTAGGGTCGGCCTTGTCCGACTATAACTTCTTACTTGTTTTTATTTTAATATGTATGTATGTATGTATGTATGTATGTATGTATGTATGTATGTATGTATGTATGTATGTATGTATGTATGTATGTATGTATGTATGTATGTATGTATGTATGTATGTATGTATGTATGTATGTATGTATGTATGTATGTATGTATGTATGTATGTATGTATGTATGTATGTATGTATGTATGTATGTATGTATGTATGTATGTATGTATGTATGTATGTATGTATGTATGTATGTATGTATGTATGTATGTATGTATGTATGTATGTATGTATGTATGTATGTATGTATGTATGTATGTATGTATGTATGTATGTATGTATGTATGTATGTATGTATGTATGTATGTATGTATGTATGTATGTATGTATGTATGTATGTATGTATGTATGTATGTATGTATGTATGTATGTATGTATGTATGTATGTATGTATGTATGTATGTATGTATGTATGTATGTATGTATGTATGTATGTATGTATGTATGTATGTATGTATGTATGTATGTATGTATGTATGTATGTATGTATGTATGTATGTATGTATGTATGTATGTATGTATGGATGGATGGATGTATGTATGTATGTATGTATGCATGTATGTATGTATGTATGTATGTATGTATGTATGTATGTATGTATGTATGTATGTATGTATGTATGTATGTATGTATGTATGTATGTGTCAAATTTTATATGCTCACCAAAGTGGATTTTAAAAAATTTTACATTTATTTTTTTTCTCTTAAATTTATTAGAGGTAGACCATTGCAATGTTCCAAAATGGAAACAACGATTAAGTCTTTTATTTTTATACCCTCCACCACCATCAGTGGTGATAGAGGGTATATATAACTTTGTCATTCCGTGTGTAACACCAAGAAATATTCATCTGAGACCCAACAAAGTATATATATTCTGGGTCCTTATCAAATTCTGAGTCGATTTAGCTATGTCCGTCTGTCCGTCTGTCCGTCTGTCCGTCTGTCTGTGTAAAACACGCTCACGATAAAACGAAGCAATAGAGCTTAACCAAATTCACCCAAAATGTTCTTCATTTTCCTAAGTTGTTTGGTATTGCAAACGGGCAAAATCGGTTCACACCGGGAAAAGTTATGAATCAAAATTTAAAACAACCTCGGAAAAAAATAAGCATTTTCTACACATTCTGATGTAATTTTCTCGAAAACTATGCAAGATAATTCAATGGAAATCACCACACATTCGTTTCTGCACAAGATCTTGATTCCTGCTGAAAATTGCCAGAATCGGTCCACAATTTCATATACCTCCCATACAAAAGTACATATTCCCGGAAAATGGGTTTTTTGTTAATAACTTCCGCCACAATGTCGATATCTTCACAAAATTTTACAAATTAAAATCTTATGTCAATAGAATTCTTTCAGAGGAAAAATTTTATGGATCGGTCCATAATTGGCCATAGCTCCCATACAAGGTCCCCTCCCGAAAATCACTTAAACGCGCATAACTCATTACTAAATTAAGATATCCAGATAAAATTTGGTATAAGTATTGCCCATATGCATAGAAATCTTACTGTGAAAGTTTTTTCCGATCGGTCCATAATTGGTCATAGCTCCCATACAAGGTCCCTCCCGAAAATCACTTAAACGCGCATAACTCAGTACTAAATTAAGATATCCATATAAAATTTGGTATAAGTATTGCCCATATGCATAGAAATCTTACTGTGAAATTTTTTTCTGATCGGTCCATAATTGGTCATAGCTCCCATACAAGGTCCCCTCCCGAAAATCACGTAAACGCGCTTAACTCATAACTAAATTAAGATATCCATATAAAATTTGGTACAAATATTACCCATATGCACAGAAATATTACTGTGAAATTTTTTTCCGATTGTTCCATAATTGATCATAGCTCCCATACAAGGTCCCCTCCCGAAAATCACTTAAACGCGCATAACTCATTACTAAATTCAGATATCCATATAAAATTTTGTACAAGTATTGCCCATATGCATAGAAATATTACTGTGAATTTTTTTTCCGATCGGTCCATAATTGGTCATAGCTCCCATACAAGGTCCCCTCTCGAAAATCACTTAAACGCGCATAACACATTACTAAATTAAGATATCCATATAAGGTTTGGTTGAAGTATTACTCATATGCACAGAAATATTACTATGAAATTTTTTTCCAATCGGTCCATAATTGGTCATAGCTCCCATACAAGGTCCCCTCCCGAAAATCACTTAAACGCGCATAACTCATTACTAAATTAAGATATCCATATAAAATTTGGTATAAGTATTGCCCATATGCATAGAAATGTTACTGTGAAATTTTTTTCCGATCGGTCCATAATTGGTCATAGCTCCCATACAAGGTCCCCTCCCGAAAATCACTTAAACGCGCATAACTCATTACTAAATTAAGATGTCAATATAAAATTTGGTACAAATATTACCCATATGCACAGAAATATTACTGTGAAATTTTTTTCGATCGGTCCATAATTGGTCATAGCTCCCATACAACGTCCCCTCCCGAAAATCACTTAAACGCGCATAACTCATTACTTAATTAAGATACCCATATGGTACAAATATTACTCATATGCACAGAAATATTACAGATAATTTTTTTTTCCGATCGGTCCATAACTGGTCATAGCTCCCATACAAGGTCCCCTCCCGAAAATCACTTAAACGCACATAACTCATTACTAAATTAAGATATCCATATAAAGTTTGGCAGAAATATTGCTCATATACTGTGAAATTGTTTTCCTATCGATCCATAATTAATCATAGCTCCCATACAAGGTCCCTTTCAGAAAAACATTTAAAGGCACATAACTCATTACCAAATAATGATATAAATAAATACTATTTTTGTTCATAAATACTATTTTGTAATGCAAAAAGCACTTAATGCTATTTCAAAAATTTTTCACGATCGGTCTATATTTGGTCATATCTCTCATACTAGATCCTGCCCCTAAAAGCGCTTTAACCGTATTTAACTATATTATATATATGTATGTATTTTTAAAATCCTTAAATCTTTCACACACATGCATACATGCAAATACGAGATATCGCTAAAGCATATCTTAGGGCGCTATAAAAATTTAAATGAAAGTGGCGTTTCTAATGTTCAATAAATCTTGGAATTGTAGTAGATTTAAGCTGTTTAAATCTTGGGATTTTTCTAGTTAAGACACGAGAAAACTTATTTCTACAAATATTTTATTAATTAGAAATGTATTAATACAAAAGTTGCTGGTGGAGGGTATTTAAGATTCGGCTCAGCCGAATATAGCACTCTAACTTGTTTTTTTTATATTTTACAAAAAATTTAATTTACTGCTTAAAATTTTCACGAGAAGGCGGATCTATAAAAATAATTTAAAATCAGATTAATATATATTTGCAAACTGCAAATCCCATAAATATTTATACTTACCCAAATCCTGATAACTTGGTGGTAAATCATTACTGCGTTGCTCATTTAAAGTTAAAGCAGGTGCTGTTGGTACAATAAGGGGATCATTTTCCAAAGGTATCACATTTTCTCTCATGGGAATAGTACCAATAAATATTGGTATGAGTATACTCTTATCTTTATTACAGCCCGCCATATTTAAGGTCACCTTTAGTAGATACTGCACTTTTATAATACTCTCACCTGGAGTGGATGGAGTTGTAGGACCTATAGGAAATGTGCCATCAAAAATTCGAGTAGTCAAACGTAAACATTTAACATCATAGGATTTTTCATATACAGATGTCTCATCGTCACGAGTCTTGTGTTTAGGTTCATGAGCAGTAAAGGTAACTTTACTTATAAAGTATATGGTGTAACCATTAATATCGATCATTGATTGATTCTGTATATGTACCGAGTACTTGGCAATTTGACCTATAGCATAGCTGCCAAAGGGTATGCTAAGTTTGACATTAATGCTACCCTTTGAACAAAACCATAAGCAGGAATTAAAGTTGTCCTCAGTTTCAATAGGAATCTAAGAGGTGGTAGAAATAAAGAAAATTATGGAATAAATTATTAAAACATTTCACTACTCACCCTTAAAACTGGACTGAAATTTAAATCCTGTGGTTTAACAACTGTTAAAACTTTATTGAATATATTATTGAAACGATAGGGTCTAGTAAGTTTGAGTGTTAGTGTGTAACGTATGTGACCAAAGCGACCCTCACACGAAGTGGGACATTCAAATGGTAGAGCTATTTGAAAATTATATGTATGAATTCCAGCGGGCAGAGTTCCCTCACCATGTACAGTTGTAGTGTTATCGATATACAATTCATTTGATTTATAATGAATAGTGTGATTCACTTTTCCTTGTCTTCTAGTCTTTTTCCAACTTACTTTCGCCTCGCCATAGAATGTTATGCATATATCTGAAATGAGATAAAAATAATATTTTTAATACCGATTCAGAATCTGATAATTGAATTTTTTTTCGTTCATTCTCGTTTTTGAGCACATTTGAGACGTTATAACAGTACATAGACCTCTTTAAGATATATCGAAAAAGTATAAATATATAGCAGAGATATTTTAAAGTCAACAGGTTAGACTTTCGGATGACATAAAAAATTTATAAATAAAGATGACTTCGCGCGGTTATAACCATGCAAATATGGCCAAAAACTAAGTTTAAATATATCTCAAAACCCTGATGTCAGATTCGGAAGAGTACCTATACCCCTACCCTATGAACATTATTTAAAAATTTAAAGTTATAATCGGTCATGACCTACCATATTATACCCTACACCAGTGTGTATGTTTCATTATTAGGACTATCTTTAATAATAAAGTATTTTGGTAATTTTTACCGTAATTCTGAAATATTTTCAATAAGCTTCGCCCTTTTGTCGAAAGAAATATGTCAAATGTGTCGTATATGTTATCATCAAATTATCTTGAAAATTGCGAACTGTAGTTTGACTACAAGATTTACATGGATGGACAGACAGACAGACAGACGGACATAGCTAAATCGATTCAGAAAATGATTCTGAGGCGATTGGTATAATTTAAGGTGGTTTTGTGCGTTACAAACATCAGCACAAACCCAATATAACCTCCCCATTAAAGTGGCGTAGGGTATAATCAATAGAAATTCAGAAAATATGGTAAAAGTTTCAATTTACTTCAGACAAATGATTTTTAATACAAAAAAAAAATTATAAGAAGTTGTATATATACTTAGAACACAATATAATATTTGAAATTTTTTTTAATTCCGCACTAATTTCTACAATTTTATTACAATATTGTTGACAACATTTTAATAACCCATATATTTGAAATGAAATTTCTTTAAAATTAATCTTAAATTATAGGAGATAAGAAATCGAATATAATATTATTTATGCCAACCTCTGACATCTTTGGGAGCGGTAGTATTTAAAACAATTGCACCACTTATTGTGTCGCCACTTTGATAAACTGCATTAGGTTTGTTCAATTTAAATTCACAAGTTGAAGGCATTATTTAATTATATTTTTGTTTATTTACTCCATTTACCATAGACCTTACGTCAACAGTTGTTTGGTTTTTGTTAATTAAAACAGAAACAATATATGTATATGTTCAGAAAATAACCAACCGGCAAAATTTAAATGCGTCGTCGTTTAATATGCATTCTACAAGATACTTTTTGTTACTAAACCTTTAGATATTTTATATACATACATACCATAGAAATGCCTCCATTGACAGTTCACAGTTGCCAGATGCATTTGCTATAAAATTGATAAAAACAGAGTTAATCTCAATAAACAATAACTATTGATTAAATTTTATTTTAAGTAATTTTTTTATAATAATTAAAAATTACGCCAAATATCATAATTTTAACAAATTCATTTAGTTTTATAATAAAAATATGAAGTTAGTATATGTTTAATTAGTATGTTATTTTCTCATTTAAATTTGTAAGATGTGGCAACAGTTATAGTCTCTCCCATAGGCAAGTACATACAAATATTTTGTATATATAAATAATTCATTTGAGTAATAACATATAAGACATTTTAAGAAAAGTGCTGTAATTGGCTTTGACGAATCTTAAATACGCTCCAGCTATAGGGTACTTTTTGTTAAAACTCATGTAAATATATTATTTTAAGATATTTTATAAATTGTAAAAGTAATTGTAAGGTCCACTTCCGAAAATCACGTGAACGTATATATTTCACTAATAAATTAAGATATTAGGGTAAAAATAAACTTGAACATATTTCATCGGTCCATAACAGGTTATGGCTCAGACATTATTTAATTTCATTAATTAATAGCGATATTCAAATTAAATTCGACATGAGTTAAGGGTTAATTAAAATTTTGTCGATGACATCATAAATACCGGATTTCATTATACATATATTTGTATTAAGTTTCATTTAAATCGGTTCAAAACTAAATAATATTGGTTTCAGGAGAATTTCCCAATATTGCATAGCTTTACTTTGACCTTCACAGTTTATGAGTTTAATATTATTCGATTTTACTGAACCTTCAGACGTATGTTTAATATTATCTTAAATGGTATATTCTGAAAAAGATTAATATAAAATATGCATAACAGTTAAGAATAAAGACTGTTTTTCAAAACGGAGACGGAGCCGGCCACTATTCGCAACTTTATATTTGGGACTCCAGTAGGAAGGACTACTTTTTTATTTCCATATTCGGAATCAGCACACCAAATAACAGTAAATTTTTCAATTATTCGACCAAGATTTAATAACCTAGATCTTTGCCAATGGGACAACATCAGTATAAAAGATTACTGCTCTGTTACATATAAGATTTTTTAAACTCCAAAAATTTAGAAACTTTTGGTTTTATATATTTTTATTCAAAATAAAAAAGAAACTTTACAAACAAAAACAAGTAAGAAACTATAGTCGGGCGTTGCCGACCATATGATATCCTACACCAATTACGAATATTAAATTTCAATGATAAAGAATTTATGTTGAAATTATCCTTGGTTCCAAATTTATTGAAGAATTACTGATTTACTGAGAGAAGCCATACAATTTGGTGGATAGATTTAAGCTAGTGTTTATAAGTGAATTGTGAACATTGAAGTCATTTTCTGAAGGGGCTAGGGTCAAATGAGGCCCGATCATTGCGAAAATCGGCAGTATCATTTAGACTTATGTAAACCTAACTTTTGCCAATTTTTATTGAAATAGTAGAACATTTAACATAATTATGAGCTCAAAGGCCCTATTCGAGGGATCGGGTGTTATGGGCGCTAGGTGAAATAATGGACCGATTTCAACCATTCCTCCTTGGACCAAAAGAAGTGTACGTGCCGAATTTCATCAAATTATCTTAAAAATTGCGACGTGTAGCGTGCCCACAAGCTTTACATGGACACACAGACAGACGGACGGACGGACAGACAGACTCAGAAAGTGATTCTGATTGGTATACTTTAAGGTAGGTGTATGATAATTTTTTTTTTTGGGTGTTACAAACATCAGCACAAACGCATAATACCCTCCAAACTATAGTGGTGTAGGGTATAAATATCAATTCTGTTTAGCTTATCACAACATTTTTCATGTTTCTAAAAACTGTGATACACGGTTGTCAGATCTTACAACGTTGTCAGTAAAATGTGCATAAAATGTCTAACAATCGTGTGAACTCAAAATTAACATTACTGACAATGTTGCAAGACAAAACATGCAAGTTGACACTGTTGTTAGACATTTTCTGCATATTTTACTGGCAACGTTGTTGCAACGTTGATCTAACAACCCTGTATACATAGCTTAATAAACGTTCATATTGTTAAAACTTTAAGATAAAAACGTTAAATACAGACAAATTCCAATTCCACATTATATGCTATAAGTGATTTCATTCCGAAAGAATTGCTTTTTTTTCGATCGGAATGGAATTATGTGACAGACCTGATAATATTCAAATATATTAAGTAATATGAGGTAACTTAGTTATCAGATTGAGAATACATGGGATACAATGGCCTAAAGTCAACATGACGATTATGATCACTTCTATTAATATCTATAAAGGGTGAGTTGCAGCGTATGGCTTCTTCAAATGTGGGCGGACCTATGGGAATGAAATACAGTTTAACTTTTTTTTTCTTATAAACAAATACTATACTTACCTAACTCCTGATAACTTGGAGGTAAATCATTGCCTCTTCGAACATTCTGCGATGCCACACCTATAATGGGATCATTTACAATAACATCTATTGGTGTCTCTCTTAGTGGTATGGTGCCAATAAATATTGGCACAGTTATGATATTATCACTCGAACAATTATCAATATTTAAATCAATTTTTAATGTATATTGTACACTTATAATACTATTATTTTCGGTGGTGGGCGGTGTAGAACCTATATTAAAATTGCCCTCAAACAAACGTGTACTTAAACGTAAACATTGATCACTATATGATTTTGTTGTTAGAATACGTTTATCTTGTCGTGTTTTGTAATGAGGCGTACGGACTGTATATGTTATATCGCGTATAAATTCTAAGGTATAACCATAAATATCGTCCATTGTTTGATTTTTAATATAGAGAGAATATTGAACAGTTTGACCGATGGCATAGCCACTAAACGGAACGGTTAGAGTGGTATTAATACTACCACTAGAACAAGACAAAAAACAGGGACTGAAAATATCTTCACATTCCATGGGAATCTGTAATAAATATATGAGGTATACAATTTAATTTTCAATAGGTGATATTCTTTTAAATAATAAACTCACCCTAATAGCAGGATTTAAATTTAAATCTATTCTTTTAATTATACTTAAAGGTATACTAAAATCAATATCGTTATCTGAAGGTCTATTAAGTTTTAGTTTAAGTTCGTAGCGTATATGACCCCAGCGTCCTTCGTACGAGGTGGGACATTGCAGCGGTAGAAGTATGTGAAATGTATATGTATTAATTCCTGCAGGCAGGGTTCCTTGTCCATGCACAGTTGTAGTATTGTTCACATATAGCTCATTTGATTTGAAATAAACCGTATGATTTCCGTATGTACCATTTGATATTCTTCTTCTTTCTGTTTCACTCCAATTTACCTTACCCTCACCACGAAAAATTATACATATATCTAAAATTAGAGAATAAATAGTATTTGTTTTAGAAGATGTACATCCGATAACTTTCTAAATTGACACTTTTAAATACAATTAGTGGAAATTATTAACGAACAAAAATTGTCGAACAAACCAAAAGATCAGACAAATTGTTTTATTACGAGAATGCGGCATATTTCTGGAAAAACATCATATATGTATGTATATTATCAATATGTTTTAATATACATACATATAAGGTTAACCAATAAAATTTTTATGATAAAGAAATGTTTCTCCAATATTCTTCATACATAAATATGTAAGTATATATCTCGATAATCATATGTTTTTACTAACCTTTTACAACTACGGGAGAAATACATACATACATATGTGAGTATATATCTCGATAATCGTATGTTTTTACTAACCTTTTACAACTACGGGAGAAATAGTTTTCAAAACGATCGTACCGCTAACCGTATCCCCACTATAATAAACTGCATTGGAATTATTCAGTTGAAATTCACAAGTTGTAGACATTTTTAGTTGTATTTTTTTCTTATTTATATATTGAATTGTATTAAAGCATTATTTAAACAATAGTTTTTTAACTACATTGGCAGTAAATATGTACAGATAAAAATATATATTTTCTTCATTGTTCAATGTTTAATCTAATAAATACTGTTTGCTACTAATTTCTAAGACTTTTTTCTGTCTATAGTCACTAAAGTGTATTTTTGATTATTTACAGAATCCATATGGTGTCTTCCAAATTTACCCTATGAGATGATAAATATAGAGGAAATCTGTAAAGAAAAACTGCGAGAGAAGTAAGAAATCAGGGATGGAAAATTCAATACTATTGTAATTTTTTGTAAGTAGATCATAGAATAATAAATACACTAGTTCCAAAAATATAAACTAGTCAATAGTCATAGTTTTTAATATAGAACTAATGCATCCTAAACTAGTTAGTCAGGAAAATTTTATTTAGACTAGAGTAATGAATATACCATTATAGATTAGTTAATAGACTTATCAATATACTAACTTTTTATCAATATACTACTCCACAGATTAGTTAATAAACTAAGTACATATTTATAAGTTATTACATTAGTCAATCGACTAATACACCGAATAATCTAAAGGCTAGACTATATACTAGTTCACAGACTTGTCCATAGATCAATCTGTAGAGTAGGCAATATACTGGACTGTATTAATCCATAGACTAACTAATAAATTCGTTTATAGACTAGTTCTTTAGCTAGTCACTGGATTAAATAATGGACTAGTCAAGAGACCAGATTAAGGGTTTCCCACGTTTTTTTTTTTTTTTTTTGATTTACAAATTTATTGAGAAATTTATTTAATTCTGCGGATTTCCATGTCTACTCTCAACTACTATAATAGGAAGAGTTTTATATGTTCGTGCTGATGCTTGTAACGCCCTGAAATAAAGTATATCGATCGATTTGTATCATGAATAGATTTAATGATTTACATGGAAGGACGGACAATGTAAATGGAAGGACGGACATCATTCCCTCCATACATGTACAGTTTCCAATTTTCAAGATGATGAAATTTGACATAAATGTCAATGCCTTGCTCTTATCCCGTTCAAATTGGTTGAAATCGGTCCATTATTTCAACTTGATTCCATACAACCGGACCTACCGATTAGGACTTTATAGCTCATAACTATATTAAATGTGTATATATCTTTGTAAAAAATAGCTCAACTTAATTTTAAATGAATGAAAATACTTCCGATTTTCATAATGATCCGTCCAAAAGACTTTAAGGTAAAGACTTTAAGGTTAGAACTTTAAATGACTAACAGAGTGAATGAAATGTTGTAAAAATATGTTTTTTTTTATTTAAAAATATGCCCTGCAAATATTATATTCGAACACACAAGTACAAACTCATTCATCACTTTGGGAATATGAGGGATACAATGGCCTAAAACCAATATGACGATTATGTTCATTTTTATCAGTATCTATAAAAGGTGAGCTGCTGCGTGTTGCCTCCTCAAAAGAGGGAGGACCTATATAAAAAGAGAAAAATATATTAATTTTTTTTTTACCACTCAAATAAATATCATTCCTACCTAATTCCTGATAACTTGGTGGCAAATCATTGCCTCTTTGGTCATCGAAAGGTAATACAGGTGCTGTGGGTATGACACCTATAAGACGATCACTTTCCAATGGTTCTATGGGCGTCATGCTTTCTCTTAGTGGTACAGTACCAATAAATATCGGTACTTTAATAGTATTATTGCTAGTACAACCGGACATTTTTAAAATTACTTTTAGATAATATCTTACTTGTATTATACCATCACCTTCGGTGGTGGGTGGTGTAGACACAATATTGATATTACCATCAAAAATACATGTAGTCAAACGTAAACATTGTTTACTATATGATTTTGTTTCTAAAACTGTCTTATCTTCTCGGGTTTTGTGATGTGGCGTATGGGCAGTAAAGGACAGTTTACGTATGAATTCTACTTTATAACCATCAATATCGTCCATAGATTGATTTTGAATATATATCGAGTATCTAACACTTTGTCCGATGGCATAGCCACCAAAGGGTATAGTAAGTTTGGTATTAATAGTACCACCCGAACAGGAACAACAGCCGGAACTGAAAATATCCTCATTTTGAATGGGAATCTAGGTTAAAAAAGAATTACAAATATTAATTATATCAAAATTGGTTATATACAAAAATTACCTACCCTAAATACTGGATTCAAGTTTAAATCTAGTGTTTTTATTACACTCAACGGTTTACTAAACTCATTATCGAAACGTAAGGGTCTATCTAGTTTAAGTCTTAATTCATAGCGTATGTGACCCCAGAGACCCTCACACGAAGTGGGACATTGTAACGGTAGCATAATTTGAAATGTATATTTATGAGTTCCTGCAGGCAATGTTCCTTGACCATGCACAACTGTTCTATTGTTTACGTATAATTCATTTGATTTGAATTGAACCGTATGATTGCTATAAGTACCATCTGATTTTCTACGTCTTTCCGTTTCGTTCCAACTTACCTTTCCTTCACCGCAGAAAATTATGCTTATATCTAAAATTATAGAAAATTATTATAGTTGATATAAGTATTATGTCACATCTATAACTTGATAGAAACCTAAAATATTGGACCTGCAGCACTTAATACATGTCCGTCCGTCCGTCCGTCCGACTGGCTGTTAATGTAAACCTTGTCCCTAAAGCACAGGCCGGAATTTTCAATATATTTTGATTAAATTTGGACCATACGCTAAAAGTCTACTGACCATACAACCAGATTTACCGATTTGGACTATTAGCTCATAACTTCAGAAATCGGCACAACTAAGTAAAAGCGTTATTATCACTTCCGATTTTTGTAATAATCAGCCCTCATTTGACCTTAGGCCCTATAAAAACTCGCCTTTAGAAAATGACTTAAACGTCCATAATTAATTTATAACCATTAATATCATAATGAATAACTTTTATATATATATATATATATATATATATATATATATATATATATATATATATATATATATATATATATATATATATATATATATATATATATATATACTCATAACTGGTGTAGGGTATTATATGGTCATAGTTTGTTTAAAAACAAACAAATTCTGTGAGTAAATTTATAAATTTACTCTATCCCAAATCAATCTATAACAGCGCTCTCATTGATGCCAAAATAATTCTGATCAAATTTTGATAACATATTCATATTCAGAGCACATCTCTGCCAAAGACATTTAAAAATGCCAAAATCTCTGTTTTTTTCAAGGTTAAACATTGAACTTTGGTAAGTAAGTTAGGGAATAATGTTTTGTTTAACATTAATGTAAGACAATTAAAAAAAATTGTTTTTTTTTTCATTTTTTATAAAAAAATCATATCTGCTACTTACCTCTTACACCTTTAGTAGAAGTAGTCTTTAAAACTATTACACCACTAACAGTGTCACCGCTATGGTAAACTGCATTGGGATTGTTTAATTGAAATTCACATGTTGAAGGCATTATAAGTATTTATTAGGTAGTTTTTTAATTTGTATAGATATTTTATTTTATTTTAATTATAATCTATTTAGCATTAACATTTTGTCTTTATTTTTTTTTAATTAATTCATACTAAATTTCTAATAAACAGCAAACAAAATAAGTCACCCAACGTTTGATCTAACAGATACTTTTTGCTGTTAAATTTGTCGATGTTTTATTTATAAATGTTTATTTACAAAATTTATATGCTATCTCCGAAATTTTCAGAAATATAGAGAAAATGTATGTGTTTACTAATTATCTCTGAGAGTGATTGAGAGAACGAGAGGGAGAAGTAATTGGAAATGTTAAGAGCAGTAAACTATGTGCGAGTCAAGGCACATTTGTACATGGGTATGAGAGCCCGTACGAATGTTAAAACATTTTTTGGGTTTTTGGACGTAAACGATTTTGTATGTACGATACTGTCAAACTCCGCGTAAAAAATTTACCAGTCTATAGTCGTTTTCTCTCGGATGCAAGTGCCTGAGAGCGATTGTTTAACGTACCCAGTTATGCTTGCATGATGTCACGTTAGAATTTACCTAAGCCTATGTGATTTTTTGTCTAATTGTAGATTAATTTAAATATTTACCAATAACTTGTTGAAAAATTTTTTTACGCACTATCAAAAATGATGGGAGTATATTATTTTTTGTCATTCAGTTCAAGACAAGACTATAGATTGGTCTATAGTTAAGATTAAAGACTGGTCTATAGTCAAGACTATAGACTGGTCTATAGTTAAGACTAAAGATTGGTCTATAGTCAAGACTTCAGACTGATCTACAGTCAAGACTATAGACTGGTCTACAGTCAAGACTATAGTCTTGACTATAGCCAGGTCTATAGTCAAGACTAAAGACTGATCTATAGTCAAGACTAAAGACTGGTCTATAGTCAAGACTAAAGACTGGTATATAGTCAAGACTAAAGACTGGTCTATAGTCAAGACTATAGTCTGGCCTATAGTCTACAGTCAAGACTATAGACTGACCTATAGTCAATGCTATAGACTGGTCTATAGTCAAGAAAATAGACTGGTCTATAGTCAAGACAATAGACTGGTCTGTATTCAAGACTATAGACTGGTCTTTAGTCAAGACTATAAACTGATCTATACTCAAGACTATAGACAGATCTACACTCAAGACGTTAGACTAATCTGTACTCAATACTATAGACTGGTCTATACTCAAAACTATAGACTGGACTATAGTCAAGACTATAGACTAGACTATAATCAAGACTATAGACTGGTCTATAATCAAGACTATAGACTGGTCTATAATCAAGACTATATACTGGTCTATAGTCAAGACTATAAACTGGCCTACAGTCAAGACTATAGACTGGTCGATAGTCAAGACAATAGACTGGTCTATAGTTAAGACTATAGACTTTTCTATAGTCAAGATAATAGACTGGTCTATACTCAACACTATATACTGGTCCATACTCAAGACTATAGACAGATCCATTCTCAAGACTTTAGATTAATCTATACTCAAAACTATAGACTGGACTATAGTGAAGACTATAGACTAGACTATAATCAAGACTATAGACTGGTCTATGTCAAGACTATAGAATGATATAAAGGCTATTCTATAGACTGGTCGAAAATAAACCTGTTTATTGTTGACCAACGCTTCAGACCACGGACTGGTCTACAATCAATCGGTAATCATAAGTAAGTTTAAATAAAGTTTAAGAGAAAAGCAAATTATCTTTTATATATTTTTATATCAGTTAAAATCTGAGTATAATTTTAATATATATCTTAAAATATAAAAATTTGGCATAACTAAAAAAATAGCGTATCAAAAATATCAAAATATATTATATTTGTATTAACGTAAGTATTTGTCTTAAGTAAAAAAGGCATTTATTTTTCATTATAAGGCACATTATACATGGGATATAGTGGTCTAAAACCCACTATACGATTTCTGGCGTCCACATCAGTATCAATAAAAGGAGAATTACTGCGGGTAGCCTCTTCAAATGAGGGTGGTTCTAAATATAAAAACAAATTGGAATAAATCAAGTTCTTCGATACTAGATAATAAGACATTTTATCTATGAAACTTACTTATATCATTATAACTTGGTGGCAAATCGTCATCAATACTATTTATTTCAGCTCCCGCTAGTTCGGGAGCAGTAGGAATAACTGGTTCCACACGAACGTTCATTACAGTCTCATTAGCTGGTAAACTTTCACGCAATGGTATAGTACCTATAACTATGGGCATTTCCATGACTGCATTCGAACTGCAGCCGGGTAAATACAATGTAACCTTTAATTTATATTCCACACATATAATACTAGATCTTGGAGTGGTCGGCGGTGTGGATGGTATGTACATCTCACCCTCTATAATACGATTAGTTAAGCGCAAGCACTGTTCACTAAATGTTCTCGAAACTAAAGTATTTTTGGAAGTACGTTCCTTACGGCGGGGAGACTTTGCGGTAAAAATCATTTTCTTAGTAAATTCTATAGAATAACCCTGGGTGTCACTCATCGATTGGTTCATTATGTGTAGAGCATATTTAATAGTTTGTCCAGGAGCATAGGCACCATATGGTATTTGTAGAGTACAAAATATTTTACCTTTTGTACAGGGCCAACAACATAATTTACTAATAGTCTCCAAAACCAATGGTATCTAGAATAGAAGAAAATAAAATTATTTCATGTTGCTGTTTCATATTAAGGCAGTGATGCCAAGTGTAGGGATTTTTCCCTTTTGTAGGGATTTTTTTCAAAATTTTCACGTGTAGGGAAAAAGGGAAAGATTTCTTACTATTGTCAAATTGTAGGGATTTTTCAATTTCATAGTTTTTAACAGCTAAAAATATACCCTTTCATGTATTAAACTTTAAAATTAAAAATGAAATCAGTTTTAAGTGTATCGTTAGTAAAAATTCCGCTTGTAATTTCTACAATATATGTACCTACATATCTCTACAAGACTGGCATAATCCAAAATTCGGGTTTCTTGAACTGAGGTCTACAAAACATGCGACATACTAAAATCTTTCATATAGATTTAATGTTCTGAAAATTTATAAAAGTAAACCGCAAAAAGTAAACGCAAAAGTAAACCTTATTTAAAATAATTATTTTATGAAAATTATTTTGTTGGGGGCACATAAAATAAATTTTTAACATCGAATCGTGATACTGCCATAAATCTTTCAATTGTCTTGGTTTTTTAATCTTAACTGAAGAGTCAGGGTTGGAAGATTTGTATGATGTAAAATTGAAAGAAAAAAATTTTAAAATTTAAATTCTAGAAATTTTATTCCTAAAATTAAAAAAATACATATATATGTATATTATAAAACGGAGCTAATATTTTAGTTTTTTTTATGTTATTTTTGTATTTTTTTAAGATAAACTTGGAAAAAAGTAGTGTAGGGAAAAATGTAGGGAAAATAAAAAGTGGGTGTAGGGAAAAAAGGGATTTTTTCTCATAAGCGTAGGGATTTCTGAAAAAAATCTCCTGGCATCACTGTATTAAGGGGAGAATTGATATTACCTTATAGGCTGGATTTAAATTTAAATCAATAGTTTTTATTATAGTCACCGGCCTTTTATAGATATTATCGAAACGATAATATCGATTAATTTTTAATGATATTTCATAACGTATATGACCATATTTGCCCTCACAGGATGTGGGACATTCCCAGGGTAGCGGTATATTAAATGTATAGGTATGTGTACCAGCTGGTAGAACTCCATCACCATGTACCATTGTACTATTATTGACATACACTTCATGTGATTTATAGTAGGTGGTATTAGTCGAACTGCTTCCATCGCTGTTTGTTGTAGAGTCAGATTCTTCCCATTTGACTTTTCCTTCGCCTAGAAATATAATGCTGACATCTAAAAGTGAAATAAAAGGAAAGAAATATTTTTCATTAGTATAATCTACTCTGACTGGTATGATTTGTTTATTTTGAAGTCGGTGATGAATTTCACTCAGATCTTGCTTAACTTGTTTGTATTTCTCTATGCAATATATTAAGTATCAATAAACTAATAATGATTTTTAATGAATTATAGCTTTAAGTTACGCAAGTATTTATAATTTTGTAATTACTCATTCATACATGTTCTTAAAAGATAATAATTATCCGATACAAGTATGAGTCATACAATTCATCAAAAAATTCAGACTTCTGATTTCAATATAAACTTATAGGGTTAAAATGTACAATTAGAAATATTTTAGGGGTTGACTCATAAGTTTCGAAATTTCAATAAATTACATTTGATAAAATTAAAAATACATTTTGGGTCCTCATTATATTCTTAAACATTCTAGCCACGTCCGTCCGACTATCCGCTGAAATGACAATACGTTCCCAACGGGAAACTTTAAAAAGCTGAAAATTTTTCCAAATATTTTTATACCCTGATGGGTGGTGTATTAATTCTGTCATTTCGTTTGTAATAAATTGAAATATTATTGTAAGACCCACAAACTTATATATTAATGTATATTCGAGGTACTCAATAGATTCTAACACGATTTGGCCATTTTCTTCTTCAATAGGGTGGGACCGAATGAAAAAATTTAGAGGGCTGAAATTCTTAAGACTAACTTTTAAAAATGATATACATATAGAAATTCGACTTAAACAAGTTTTATAAGTACCTAAATCTGTCTACAAAGATTTATGAAGATCGGTCTTTAATAGAACCTTCTCAACTCCATCAGAAAATTACTTTATCGCTAATTACGGGCATGAAGATAACATTACCAATTTTTCATAAAACTCAAGATAAACAATATAGGTATGACTCAAAACCTCTCTTTCAAGTTTTATGAGGATCGGTCCCTTTACCCTACCTAGCGTATGAAATCCCCTTTCGGAAATGACTTTAAGGCTCATAACTGGCTGCACAAACGATGGTATAATTTAACATAAACGAGTTACATATTAACGGAAATCTCTCTACAAAATTTTATGACGATCGGTACATAATGGATCCTACCGCCCATGTAAGGTCCTCTTCAGAAAATTACTCTAATGATATAACTGACTTAAAAATGTCAGTATAGTTATACCCTGCACCACTATAGTGGGGAGTGTATTATACGTCTGTTCTGATGTCTGTAGCGCATAAAAACATTGGTCCTACAACCACCTTAAAGTATACCAATCGGCTCAGAATCACTTCCGGAGTTGATTATTCACTTCTGAGTCTATTTAGCTTTGTCCATTCGCCTGTGTGTCCATTCAAGATAATTTGATGAAATTTGACACATACTCTTCTTTTGACCTAAGGACCATTATTTCGTATAGCCCCATAACCTCTTAACCCCCGAATAGGGCTATTGAGCTAATAAATATGTTAAATGTTCTTGTATCACTTAAAAAATCGCCAAAACTTAGTTTTATATAAGTCTTAATGATACTACTGATTTCCTCATTTGAACCTATCAAAGTCGCCTACAGAAAATGACTTGATGGTCAAAATTCACTTATAGACACAAATATCATGATGATATTCTGCATAAATAGACGTAAATCCCTCTATCAAAGTTTATAAGGATAGGACCAAATTAACCTCCTGCCCCCATATAACCCCTCATTTAGAAAATCCCTTTTTGGGTATCATATGGTCGGTGAATTTTATGTCAACAGAAATCTCTTTACTAAGTTCTATGAGAAACGGACCATAATTAATACTACGCCCATATAAGATCCCCTTCAAAAAGTATGTTAACGCTCTTTGCTGACCAATATAACCGCGAAATTCCACAAAAACAAGTTTCATACGAATGAAACTCTGTTTCTGGTGAACGGTATATATGTAATTTATCACTGTTACTTCTTTAATCAAACTAAGGTTTTACTGACGGTTGCTATGCCCAATTGAATAAGCTAGTCTTTATTTCGCCCGCTTTTGCGTTATTTTTTCTTTCTGTGACACATAAAAACTCTTAAAGTACCTACATTGTTTTTCTAAAAAAAAATTGTTCTTTTAGACATACAAATTAAATGTACATAAATTTATAATGAAATACATATTGACATTGAATTTCTTAAAAAAAATCGCTTTTGTATTACTCACCTCTTACATTTTTGTCACTTGTGGTGCTTAGAGTAATAGTACCCGCTATTATTTCTCCACTAAAATAAATAGCACTTGGTTTGTTCAAATCAAATCTGCAAGTCGAAGGCATATTTTTAAAAATTGTTTGTTTATATTTATATTGAATAATAGTAATATTTTAATAAACAATTAAAAACTTTAAACTAAAACATTATATTTTATTAACCGAGTATTTGTAATTAATTATTCAAGACTCCTGAGTAAACTGACTGTGGGGTTCGACAAATTAATAATTTTCTTCCAACAATAAGTGTGTGTATAATGTTATCATAAAAACAAACAAGGCATCTACAGTTCACGAAATAATTATAGGATTAAAATGTTTTTACAAAAATTAAAGCCTCCGGTAGTTTAGTTGGTTAACCGCTAGGGACACTGTAACAGAAGCGCACTACAAGTCTAAAGGTGACCTAAATGTATTTCTTCTGATACTTTCAAACTATCTTACAGACTCTTATATCTTGGAAATAAACGACATAATTCTAAAACCTTAATAAATTTTATTTGTTACAAAAATCTAATTGTGTCTTATAAAGATTTTGTGGTGTGTAATGCATTCATTTTAAGAGTTCCATTTCAATATAAAGAGCATATTCGTTGGTAATGACATCATTAGTCTGTGTTGGGTGAGAGCTTTTCTGTTTTGCTGTTGTTTATATTTTGTAGTCTGTAAAGAGTTTGCTGTGAAAGTGCTTTTTTTATTGACTTTGTTTGGGTTTATTCTGTGGGAATCCCCTTAAAACTAGTAACACAACATAGAACTTGTTAAAACTTCTGAGCTTTTCATATAATGCAATGTAACTAAATTGAGAAATTCAAAAAACCAGAAATATTAAAGCTTTTGGAATGTTTAATACTTTTACAAAGAATTTAATTCAATATATTGCAAAAAATTCATATAAATAACTTACTGAAAGCGAATTTGCATTTATTTCAGCAAAATCAGAATATAGAGATGACTAAAAACCCACATTTCGGAAACGGTTATTTTTTTCAAGTGATTTCCCTCGAAAGTATGATTATAGATTTAGGCTCTTGTCGCTTTAGACCACAGATTTATTTTTTATCAAATTTTTGCCTCAAGTTTTTTAAGTATTTGATATGATTTTTTTGTAATTTTTACTGGAGATAAGAATTTGAATCATCAAATATATTTTTAAACAAAAAGTTATACCAGCACGAGACCCTACACCGATAGAATAAGAAGTCATGTAATTGATTGCAATATATTGATGAAGTATTATTTTCTGAAAGAGACATGTAAGAAGTAGAAAAAAACATTATAACTAACTAACTAACTACTACCCTAACTAACTAAACTAACTAACTAACTAACTAACTAACTACTAACTAACTAACTAACACTACTAACTAACTACTAACTAACTAACTAACTACTAACTAACTAACTAACTAACTAACTAACTAACTAACTACTAACTACTAACTAACTAACTACTAACTAACTACTAACTAACTAACTAACTAACTAACTAACTAACTAACTAACTACTAACTAACTAACTACTAACTAACTCTAACTAACTAACTAACTAACTACTAACTAACTAACTACTACTAACTACTAACTAACTACTAACTAACTACTACTAACTAACTACTAACTAACTAACTAACTAACTACTAACTAACTAACTAACTACTAACTAACTAACTAACTACTAACTAACTACTACTAACTAACTAACTAACTAACTAACTAACTAACTAACTAACTAACTAACTAACTACTAACTAACTAACTAACTAACTAACTAACTACTAACTAACTACTAACTAACTACTAACTAACTAACTAACTAACTAACTAACTAACTAACTACTAACTACTAACTACTAACTAACTAACTAACTAACTAACTAACTAACTAACTACTAACTAACTAACTAACTAACTAACTAACTAACTAACTAACTAACTAACTAACTAACTAACTACTAACTAACTACTAACTAACTAACTAACTAACTAAACTAACTAACTAACTAACTAACTAACTAACTAACTAACTAACTAACTAACTAACTAACTAACTAACTACTAACTAACTAACTAACTAACTAACTAACTAACTACTAACTAACTAACTAACTACTAACTAACTAAACTAACTAACTAACTAACTACTACTAACTAACTAACTAACTACTAACTAACTAACTAACTAACTAACTAACTAACTAACTAACTAACTAACTAACTAACTAACTAACTAACTAGCTAACTAACTAATGTGGGGACCAAATTAATATCAAAGTATTTAATTCTATTTCTTTAATTTCGATAATTTGTTTGGACCTTATCGTGTAAAGCCACTTAAAAACGTTGGAGAGATTTTTGGAAATAAACGTTATGTGGGGACTAATTTAATATGAAAGTATTTAATCATTATTCCGGGGTTATGAGAAATCGTGGACTGGTATTGTCCATTTATAATAACAAACGAACCTTATCTATGTAAAATTTGTCATCTTCTAACTCCTAAAGTTTGGATCTTGTCGTGCAACAGACGTACATATATATTTAGAGCGTAGCAAATCTAATATGGATCCAGTATACATAGTATGGATACAGTATATATAGTTTTTAGGCCAAATATCTATGTTTTTGGATGGTGGGTACCAAAAGATACTGTCGGATCTTTTTAAATAAAAATTTTCCTATTGAAATATTCATGGTATGATGAGTATGCATTTGGTCTTACACTGTAAATAAAATAAATTTTAGAAAATGTATAAAAATATATGGAAGACATATAAAGTCGTTGTTTTGAAGCACATGCTTGTGGAGTTAACAAGAAACAAATTTTGAGTTATATCTGTCTTTCATTTGCTATACATATATGTATATGTATGTCATATACATAAGTTTTACCTTAAAAACTAACTTTCGGAAACACGTTTCCTTAATCAATTCAATTTTGTTGTAAAATTCTTTATGTCATTTTTACTGACACATTTATACTTTTTATATAACCTAGACCTTCAACCTTGTTTTAAATTTTACCCTCATTCGTAATACTAAGCATTTGTCCATTTCTTATTTATCCACTTCTTGATGCTGCTATTGAAATTCTTAGAATCTTAATGAAAACTTGCTTAAGGCTCTTAAGATGAGAAAAAAAAAAA